GTCGCATGAAAAGTACAGACAACTTTTTTATTTTTGTGTGGCTGTGTAATCAATAAATCCAATGAACTCAGTTATGAATTCTTACGAAGATATAGCGGCTTGTAAAGGATGTCCCAAAAGTAACGTAGGATTTGAATGTGCGTCATTTTCATTCCAAAGAGTTGGTAGCATTGTGCAGGGTCAAATGATGGCAAATGATGATGTGACACGTTGGGGTTAGACAAAATGGAGCGCTATATGACGGATGAGCTAGTGAAAATTGTGGAAATTCATTACAAGTACGGAGAGTGTGCAACTGAGACTGTGCGCAAATTATGTGGAAGGAACACCCCGAATGAAACAAGTGTGGAAAGATTATTTGCCAAATTTGAACCAGCAGGTGGCAATGTCTTTAAAAATATGTAAAAACTTTGCCAACTTTTTAATTAACTGTTTCCCTCATATAAAATCCTGCGTTTCTTTTTGTGCCAATCTTGGAAATGGTAATATTGTTAAATTTATCTTGAAAACGTATCCTTTATCATTTTTTTCCCTAATTATTATCACCGAGTCAAGATAATCCCGCATTTTCTAGGGGATAAAAGAAAATGTAACAAACACGTGTATCAATTTTGGTATTGACACTTTATCTGGTTTAAAAGGTACTAAATAAAAAGCAACGTTGTCAACAAAAGATCTTAGAAATGATTAAATTTGATCTCTTTATTCACTTCCATTATCTTATATTATTAATATGTCTTTTGTAAAAGGCATATTTCCAAACTCATTAAAAACAGCAGTCACTAAACCCTTATATAAAAGTGGCGATAAATTACAAGTGTCAAATTACAGACATATCTCCTTGATTTCGAATATTGCGAAAATTTGTGAAAAAATAATAAAGAAAAGAATAAACAGTTATTTAAATAAATACAGTATTCTATCAAATCAACAATACGGTTTTAGAGACACAGGATGCAATAGTAGCATTAACGTCACAACTTTAAGCGCTAGACAGAACACAACCTATTATTTGTGTATTTGTTGATTTAGCTAAAGCGTTCGACCCGGTGTGTCATACTCAATACAAATTAATAAGCAGTTACTTAGCAAATAGAAACCAGTGCGTAAAAATTAATGATACATACAGTGATTATAGAACAGTAGAGTATGGAGTGCCTCAGGGAACTGTTTTAGGGCCCATATTTTTTGATATGTACCTAAATGATTTATTTAAAATACATACTGAGGGAAATATAATTAGCTTTGCAGATGACACAGCTATAATCTATGAAGGAGAAACCTGGCAAAGCTTAAAGCATGAAGTAGAGAATGATTTCAAGAACTTAATTGAGTGGTTTAATTACAAACTTCTTACAATAAATTTTTAAAAAACATATTGTGTTTCATTTATATCATATGCGTGTAATTTACCAAACTTTGATTACTCTTTAACTGTGAATCAAGAGCAGATAATAATAAAATCTGTTAACAATATAAAGTACCTCGGTGTTCAAATTGATTCACACCTATAATGGGATTCCCATGTAAACATCTTAATAAAAAAATTAGATGCCTTTTATACAAATTTAAATATTTAACCAAGATACTTTCACTAGATCAAGTAAAACTATTATATCACGCTCTGGTAGAATCTCATTTAACATATGGCATTATTGCATGGGGAGGTGCTACAAATATGTAATTACATATGTAACTTGGAAACTATTAAACAGAAAAGTATATTAAAAATATATTATAAAAGAAGTTATACTTACTCCTCTGGTTTGCTTTTTGCGGAGACAAACTTGTTGTTGTAAGACAGCTTTATTGTTATATTTTAGTTAGAACACATCAAAATAAACAAGAACTGGTAGATATCGATTACGATTATAATACAAGCTACAAATACACAGGAGCCTCTAAACTACCTAAAGCTGATAATATGCAATAATGCAAAGAACGTTTATCTACTTAGGACCAAGAATATATAACTTAATACCTCCCGAAATAAAATTAATTAACAATATACACTGTTCAAAATAATTAGAGGAACACTTATTTAAATCTCAATAACTTTTTTATTTGTAATACTATATAAATCTAATAATGCATATCTTAAAGACTAACATTTTGTTCGAATAAATTTACAAATTTACAAAATCACTCTTGAGACAACAGCGCCAATTCAAAAAAAACTACAAGAAATAAAGTGAAGAGTCTGTGATCCTGTCTGTATAACATAAAGGTCCTGGTGAGATTTGGTTAACTAATATCGTGTATGTCTTCCATTAGCACGAATTACTGCTTGACACCTCCCTGGTAAGCTTCGGATGAGCCTACGAATGTCTTCTTGTGGTATATTCTCCCATTCTTCGATTAGGGTATTTGTAACTGTTGGAGAGTCTGAGGTGGGTCTGGGCGCTTCCGAACACGCCTATCTATCAAATCCCAAAGATGTTCGATGGGGTTTAGATCAGGACTTAGCGGACGCCAATCCATGGATTGAATCCCGTGATGTTGAAGGTAATTCATGGTGATAATCGCAGTATGTGGCCTTGCGTTATCTTGCATAAACAGAAAATTTGGACCTATACCATAAGCGGCTGGTATAACATGATCTAGAATGAGATCAATGTACCGTTCAGCGGTTAGAGTCCCTGGAACTATGACAAGATCGGTTCTTTCATCAAGACTAATTTCGCCCCAAACCAAATCCTTCGACTTCTTGTATGGTAGCTGAAGAATGACGTTCATGTGGACGTCGGTATACACGTACTCGACCATCACAACGATTTAAACGAAATTGTGACTCATCTGTGAAGAGTACTGGCCTCCAATATCGAAGTTGCCATGCCACATGCTCACATGCAAAATGTAAACGAGACCTTATGTGATACGGAGTTAAAATAGGTTTTCGCACGGGTCTTCTCGGTCTCAAGTTTGCTTCTCTCAGTCTATTCCTAACTGTCTGATCGGAAATTTCTAACCCATGAGTCGTTCTGAGACTACTTTGAAGGTCTTTTGCTGTGGATGCACGAGAACGCAATGAGGATAGGACTAAAAACCTGTCCTGAATTCGGTTTGTTTTCCTCTTAGGACCTTGTCCAATGCATCTTTTATATCCACCGGTTTCTAAGTAACGATTCCACACGCGATGGATGACAGAAGGGCTTACGTTAAAATCTCTTGCAACCTGTCGAATACTGGTGCCATACTCTATACAAGCAACAACACGAACGACTTCAACTTCACTTAGAGCATTTTTTACAATTTATGCTGAACTGTCAACATTGTTTACTATTCCAAGGCACAGCATTTCTAAATTGAAATTTTGATTGTATGTTTCACTTTATTTCTTGTATTTTTTTTGAATTGGTACTATTGTCTCAAGAATGATTATGTAAATTTGTTTTATTTTCGTAAATTTATTCGAACAAAATGTTAGTCTTTAAGATATGCATTATTAGATTTATATAGTATTACAAATAAAAAAGTTATTGAGATTTAAATAAGTGTTCCTCTAATTATTTTGAGCAGTGTAAATATGTATAAAAATAAAATTAAGAATTGGCTAAAAGATAAACCTAGACAGCAAGTTCATGAATTAGTAACAAGAAAAAAGATTTATTAAATGTGACCACTATAAACTTGTATTCCTGAGATTGCAGTCATGACATTGACTTATTTTGAGTTTGTACTGTTTTTTAGATTGTGTTATTTTAATATTGTAATTTTAAATCTGTACATTTTGTCTCATTTTTTATGTATTCATGTTTTTATTGTGTAATACTGTATCTTAAATTTTTATTATTATTATTACTTTTTACCAAGAAGCCCCCTGTAGAAATTTGGTTGTCGAATTAAGAGACATCATGTGCAATATAACCAATTATATTTATGATTCTACAATAAATAATAATTGATGAATATTCCTATTGCCTTAATACTTGATACTGAAACAATCGAACAATTCAGTTAGTGTCAAGCGAATAGTATACACTAATATATTAGTTCAAAGTCTTGCTCAACAAAGCAAATCTAATATACATGGTACTTAGTTGATTCCAAACATATTGTTATAGTGGCAGTTTACGGTGCCTAAAATCTAATTTTTCCAAATAGTTCGCAAATGATTTACAGACTGATGCGAAAAATAGACTGTGTATATTTTAATCGGTCTCTCAATGTACATTTTTTCGCTTGTGCTTGTTTACAGTTTCATTTAAATTCGTGAGGTATAAGCGTTTTCTATATTAAAACGAATGATTATTCCATATGAAAATTATTTGAAAATTAATTATTTTTTGCATGTAATATAAACAATTAAATTTATGATTCTGTAATAACCTTTAATTATTAAATATTTCTATGACTTAATAAGTACTCGATACCGAAACTAATGAAAATTTATTGGTATACGTGGAACGATTCAATTAGTTGGAAATTGATCCTGTACACTAATACATCTGTCCAAAGTTCTCAACCAAACAAATCCAATACACAACTATTTTAATATAAACTGGGATGGTTGGGTGAAAAGACAACTACGTCGAACATAGCCATCTCTATTTAATTTTATTTTCGTTGCTATTATATTATATTATATTATATTATATTATATTATATTATATTATATAGATTTATATCACTCAAATGTCTTGAAAATAACTTACACCTGGTATAATATTCCAACATCCTCAGTATGGAGGTTAGGCTACCNATATATATATATATTTTATAAACTAGTATAAATTGTCGATATTTTAGTTATACTAGCAGTACCGACAGTTTTCTTATTCGATGTCATCGTGTCGGCACAGACTACATGTTGACATTTTTGGTACTAGTATGTAAAATGCACTTTGCCCACTAGTGCGTAGAGTAAATAGTTTTTTTAATTGAATTTATAACATACATTTCTCAATAATGGAAGTGTTATTTTACATTAGTACATAAATAATTGAACCGAGGCATCTTCGACTGGCGTATTATTTAAGATATCTCTTTTTTATTTATAGGGAGAAAACATACAATACAAAAGAGTTATGGACCAACGCAGTGAGAAAAGTATCGAACGGAAGGAAGAGGAAATCGCATTTTTCTTCAATCGCTTTTTCTGTAATAGAATCGAACAAACAAATAAAGAAGGATGTCTCGTTTTCGCCACCAGCATCTCCACGAAATTCTAATCTAAAACATGTAAGATATTTCGCTGACCCGTAATTACGTTTACAATATTAAATTAGATAAAACGCTATCTTTTCTGGAAGTCTGAACATTTCTTTCACAAACTCAACTCTCAGCATTTGCGGCTAATTTTAATTTATAACAAATACACCGAAAACAAATCTGTTATCTTTTTTCCGACGAAGATTGAACTCAATAAATATATAGAGTGTTTTTGCGTTAATTGAACAAACTTAAAATTTGAAAAGAAAAAGACCGGTTTTGAAAAATCATGAACACTTCTCTATAATATACAAGGGCTTTTAAAATTAGAACCCAAATTGTAAATTTCTCGATATCCCTTTGGGGCTCAGAAACATTATGAAAAGAGAAACATTATGAAAAGAAAATTAGATAGCAGTAGTTTTATTTTGACGGTATCTAGATGCCATGAGAAATTAGTAGATATTTACTGAATACCCTGTATAAATGTTAACTAGATTAAAAAAGATCTGAACCCGTAAATCTGAAAAATTTAACTATACAGGTTGTCCTAATATTTTCTGTACATTGAACTACCACAAATTCTTGAAGACAAAATAAAATGATTGAACTAAAAATAATCCCCCAGTAATTTACAAAAAAAACTAATTACATTTGCTAAGTTTGGCGTCCTCTGTTGTCAAACAATACAATTTGAAATAGAGCCGAATATAGTTGAATCGTCTTACTATGTCTATAAGAGTCTGTGGTAGTTCCATGTACAGTGAATATAGCGACACCCTGTATTTTCTTTTCAGGACAACACCGATAGGAGTCTGAGCAAACACCTGTCCATACCACTGAGCGACACCGAGTCCTTAAAAAATGGTAAACTCGACGATCATGTGGATTCCTTTACTCATAGCCTCAACATGGACAAGGGGATAGTTGGGGTGGACGAAGACACGTACTCGGCCATGCACAAAGGTAGGTAAACCATACAGAGGCTATATTTGCATATTATACGTAAGGATAAATTTTAGCTGACTTCGCTACGGTATTCAAAAGAGGACTGATGTACAAGGGGATTTACTGGCCATGTCTCACCAATAGTTTCCATTGCAAGCACCTGGAGCTGGCTTATCTGAGGTATTCGCATAGGCAACGACAGAAGGCGCTGATTATTGTAAATATCGTCGATCTTCTTTTGAAGGTAACTGCATTTAAGTGTGTTTATTTTAATGGATTTACCAAATTTCTCTTGTGATAATATCGGCTACTCAGAAAAAAAATCGTATTGTTATATTAATACCCTGTATTCTAAAAGCTATAAAGAAAAATGTTTTTAAAACAAAATATTCACAAACTCGTGTAGGTGTTTTCGTGTTTAGAATTCCATTATGTCATACTTTGTATATTTACGTTGTAATGTAGGAATACATTGAAAGATAAAATACATACACATGAATTCAACTCGTGTGAGTACCAAGGTGGCTATCCATTACGATCATTTTTTTCTAATTTTATTCGATTCAAGGGCTGATTTCGCCACCCTTAGACGGCCTCCAAGTGGATGAGCTCTTAGTATGTTATTTACTACCGTATTATCTTCAACTTGTGTGATTACCAAGGTGGCTATCCATTGCGTTCATTTTTTTCTAATTTTTATTCGAATTAAGTATTCGGACCAATTATGTTTTTCTGATTTGTATTCGATAGAAGGGTGGGATTTCCAACCCCGAAACGGTCTCTGTTTTATTATATTTTCTATGAATAGATCATTCTTATACGAGGGTGTTTATTATTTTTCTCTTTGTTATTTCCGTAAATATGTTTAATATGTACGCCAATGGACGTTCGGGTGTTTTCGGTAAATAGGCTGCTATCCTTTAGCCAGTGGCGGCCCGTGGGTTTGAATACGGGGGGGCGCATTTTGAAAAGAGGACGTACATCATAAGAGCTGCGGGGGTGTGGGGGGCGGTAGTTCCCCGTTTAGCGCCGCATGCGAAATATTTTAAGGAATTTGAGGGTCATTGTGTTTTGCAAGTACCCCAAAATGAATACTGTCGATGTGTACAGTAGGTACTTAGATACAATGCGAGAAGTAACATTCCAACGTGTGGGGGCTTAAGTGGATAATCGATCAACCAACCCAATTAGGATATAATTATGTAGATTACTGTAATAGTTCATTCTGTATAGTTTTTGAAGTTCCTTTAAAAACGTGGGTATCGTTAATATGTTTATCTAAAACGGGATCAATTTTTGCACTATAGTCTATCAGTTCTAAAAATACCCCTTTGTTTACCGAGTCACTTTTTTATTATGTCTACGAAGACGAAGGTTACATGTACCACATAGTTCTAGATATCTATAATTTTTGAAAGAAGCAATAGATTTTTCTTAACTGTTTCGTTATGACTATTTATTTATTCTGCATAAGCACTATTTAAACAAGAAGCAACTTATTTTTGTGTTTAGGAGAATTTTCATGTTTCTTAATTTTGTCCGGTAAATGTTTCAAGTCGGAAACTCCAGTTTTCGTCCAGTTTTCTTCACCTCCTGCAAACAATAAACATACAAAACAAAAAAATCTATTTATTTCGTCACAACCACAGGGTCTTATCATAAATGTTTTTATCAAATTTGCGAATAAAAGCCGGCCTACTTTTGCACTCTTTCTGTACCTGCACTAATTTCAACACTGGCGTTGGACGTCCGTTATTTTTCAATTCGACTTTTTCCTCTTAACTTAAATTACTAATAACAAGTTTTTTTATTTCACAAACCCTCATTTTCAACTTAAACTTATAAAATATAATGTCTTAAAAAGCGCCAAAGCAAAAACAAAACTCGTATAACCACACTTCAGTGATACGGGTTACTGCCTCATGGAGTCCCAAAACAAAGCGCGCGAGCCTATCGTCGCCTATCCCCTCCACGTGCCAATTTGTCCAATCATATGTAAAAATATGCTTGCACGATGGACTCAGATTTCACAGTCCGCGATGGAGTGGGGATTGCGCGCGGTCAAACATAACTCTTTGGTACGATCATAGATGGCAGATAGCATTAATCTGAGTTCACGGAGTACATGCACTTTATGCAACCAACCTAACATCCAAGAGATATTGAATGCATGCTATTTAGATTTCTTATTGATTTAAATAAATACATTATTTTAAGTTTATAGTTTGAAAATATCTGGGGGGCGGAGTCCCAGAGTCCTCCTTCACGAACCGCCACTGCCTTTAGCTGCTAACTTCACACTGGTCCCATTTTCGACATCAGTTAAGAAATGAATGAAAAATAATCTAATTGAAATATGTAAATTAAAATATTTCAGAAACTGTTATAGACATTTTCTTGTATCTATATAAAACTAAATGAAATATATAGAGATTGGTTGAGATTGATATATCTATCGAAACGTTAGGAAGTCTAAACCGATGACGTGGCAATTAACCCAAAAATTGTTCAACCAAAAAAAATCGAAAACAAGAAAGTATATTCTTGAATGGAACGAAATAAAATCCATTTTACGCAGACATTTTTTGCAACTATTTTTTACAGAAAATGCATAACAAGTTTTCCGAAGAGAGTCATTTAGATCAATGCAATATTTAAACATGCATGTATAAATTGTTGGTGGTGTCATTATTCTAAATTTGGGTATTCTGAAAAATAAATAATTTTATGCATAAACTGGATCTGATTTTGCTTGATTTAAAACTACACATAAAATTCTTCAATTTCATTTCTCTTTCTCCGCAACGAATTTAAGGCGTCAAATCTAAAAACACCCTGTACACATCGAACTTATCCGTCTTGAAATTTGAGTATGTGCATGAAATATATTCTGTGAAAAGAAGTATTCAATAGAAATATGCATAAAAATTTAAATGCCTAGAAGACATCTAATTATGTCAGATGGTTGTTTTTCTACGTCTTGTGTAAGGGTCTGTAAGGGTATAGTGGTAGTTTCTGGCTAAATAAAAGTATATTTGAGCAATATAAACTGATAGATGGGCACGTGTAGGTATTTTAATAATGAATTTCCACCGTTTAGGATCAGTTTTTCCGTCTATGAATAGTGTCTAATAGTTATTTGTCAAATAAAGTCCTAAATCTGATCATTAAAGAACTAAGTTTTAGCGGTCTTTATTTGTAGAATTATTCAACAGCTCAGTATGTCGTGGAGTATTTTTTTTTCTCTATTATTGTGTTGATTTTATCCCCAACCGTGAGAGTTAAAGAAATGTGGTTAATACCAATTTTTGGCAAAATTTGACTACCTCTCAACTATACACCAACAAAATTGTATAGATGATTTTCTGGCCAAAAATAAGGATAAAAGCATGAGAATGTATATCCGCAAATGTTTCATTTTAGAGACACAGAGCAATAAACAATACTTTTTTGAAGACTGGCAAATGTGCGCATTACCGTTGGAAATAATATACATTTTTGTAAACAGGGCTTGTCACTTAGGAGTTTTATTGTGATTTTATTGATACACTCAAAACATATTAGAAGATAGACACAATTGTTACTGCTTTAGTCCGCAGAGTAGTAGTATTGCTGAAGTAATCCATAGCTAATCGAAGCATATAGCCCATAGGGTAGGATTAGACATAGTCTACGGACATCATTTATTGCAGCAATAACATTTCTTCTTTTATTGATTACATTCATGGGACATTGGGGCGTTTTGTTGAATTTTTGAACATTTTTATCGCAAAAGGGATATTTTCCTTATTTTTCAGGTAGCCCTTATAATTGTATGGGCCCTGCACCCCACTCAAGTAAACAATATAGATCTACGCTCCAACGCGGACACAATAATTTGGTCGGTGTGCTGCATGTCCATTAACATAGCCGTTTGCGTACTGGGCTGGTGGCGATGTTTCGCCAACAACTACCTACACTGGGCCGCCGTATGTACGTGGCTGCTGCTAACTACACAGAGTAAGTTTCAATTTAATTACATACATAATTAAATACCTAATAATTGCGTTTTCCATGCTGTTACAAACTGCAGCATGTAAATTGTTATTAAGAGAGCCCAGAAACCGAGCGCCGTGCGGGAGAGGGGACGTAAAATTATTATTCTGAGCGTACCGATTTATTTTTTATTGATGCTTAGGGTAATATTGGGAAAGGTGGAAGAAAATGTTTGTAGATATCACCTCGGCGGAGCAATTATACATGGTGATTTACAACTTATCCAAAAAAATTTGAGAATAGATTCGGCATGAGAAATGGAGTCAATATCTTAAAAAAAATTTTTGTAAAATCCTTATGGTTTCCGAGAAAAAAAATATTGAAGTAGTAGTACATTCAACCATTACATAGCTGGACAACTATTGTGTCTAGCGTCATTCGCAATACGCGTGGCGAGCCACGTTATTTCGAATACTGAAATCCGTTTTTACAATCGTAGTTGCGTTAGTGTTTACCTGTTATCTGTGGTGTTTACAATAGTTTTTTAGTGGTTAGTGTCAAAAATGGCTTGCGTGTATAGCAACTTGGAGTTGATGGATATCGTTTTAATTTATGGTGAAGCAAGACAACATTTGTATTATGGTGAAGCATTTGTGTTATGGTGAAGCAAGACAACATTTGTGTTAGTTCGTAGAAACTAAATAAGACAGACCCAAATGTGTTTACACGTCGGTGGATAAAATTTTGAACAGTTGTTGTAGCATCGGGTACCTATTTTATTATTTAAAACCACAAATTAATTTTATTTATTATTATTATTTATTATTTTTTATTTTATTTTCAGTTGAATTTGCTGATATAAAATAGGTGCTATAAAATTTTATTTATTTCTTCCTTGCGAAAGTTTTAGTCCGTTTTTATCACACTTTGCCGCCATGCCGGTCGCATTGTGCGAGGTCAGGTTTTACAGTGGACCAGTTTATTGAGAAGTTCTAAATCTCCCTGTATAGTATAAGAAAAATCAATTTTGCATTATTGCTAAAATTTGAAATGTAGGGGTGTTAAATGATGCCGATTTTGGCTATGTAATCAAATTTAAAAAAAATCGCGAAGTAGTTTTTCCGAGTCAGTTATAAAAAAATCACAGCAGGCCATGGACTGCCAACTGGATCATTATACACATCATAAGTACATCAAAGGGTCAATATGTAGAGTAATTTACAGCTTATTTAAAAATATTATATGATGTGCAGAGATTCACATAATAACACACTACACTCCTTATTTTTTTTACCTTTCATTTAAAAAAAATAGTGGAAAACAAAATTTTAGTAAATTTCCTTGCGTAATCAAACAAGTACATAAAATCAATTGAATATTACGTTTCTGAGATATAAACCAATCTCATGTTTTTTTAATGGAACAGCCTGTATATTTGAAATTCCCTGTTTTTCTGATTACAACAATGTATACATGTCATATATTTGCTTCGACAGTTTGCGCAATATTTTAATTTATTTACTGACCCTCCACAATGGATAAAGTCAAGGTTGCCGTGGATTCCTTTAAATTCTTAGAAAAATGTCGGCGTTTCATCATTCTGTTCCACTCAAGGAATATGTTATCCACCTCATTGATAGTATTAAGTGCGTTCAAGGTTTTCTTCCTCAGGTCGTATAAGTTATTAGATCTCCAAAGAAAGCATTACATGGGGGCCAAATCAGGACTTCTTGCGGACCATAAAATAACCTATTTATAGTTAAAAGAAAGTCCTCTTCTTAGAATAGGGTTATTATAAAATACTTTTAAATATTTTGCTTTCATAGAGATTTTAGAACTGTCACATTGTTATTGGTATTGTCTTGAATTGTGTCAATTGTCAGTAAATAAGTATATCAAAATATGTAAACCATAACATCTATACAGGGTGTATCACGAAGAGGGCCCAGTAGGATTATCTCAAAAAGTAGTCAGAATTCTAATCTGAAAATTTGTAAAAATAGTGTCAACTTCCTCGCACTTCCGGTTATACTGGAAGTCATCATCAGCTCTGTTAATTCAAATGGACCACTATGTATATTTATGCAATTTCTTAATATTACGGCAAATTTTAGAACATTTTCATATAAGGTACTTTGGGCCAAAATGTAACAGTTTACAAGCTATTATTAATTTTCGAAAAAAATTGAGGGGTGTAAGTCATTTTTGAAAATAGAATAACTCCGACATTTTGCTTTATTTATTAATGAAATTTGGCATGGATAATTTAAAAGCAATGGAATTTAACAATTTTTGTGTAAATTGAAAATTATTGATTTCAACACAGAAAAATCTACGACTATGGTGGGTCTATTTAAAGCATCGCCCTTTTTAATTTAATATACTGAATTATTGTTTTTGTTGAAGGTATAACGATAATAAAAATTACAGTTCAATAATCATATACCGTTTATTATTCAATTCTTTAGTGCATAAAATGCACCGTACATTTTTCTGTGTTGAAATCAATTATTTCCAATTTACACAAGAACTGTTAATTTTGGATATAGGGAACTATATAATCATTTTAACGTAAATTTTATTTGTGCACCCGTTAATATAATAATATATAGGGTGTACAATTTGAAATATTTGAGTAAATTCAACTTTAAAGTCACAATATTGGTCACATGTTCTTTACCACTCTGTGTGAATTTTTGCAAATTTGACATAAACTGTTTGAATTCCATTGCTTTTAAATTGCCCATGCCAAATTTCATTAATAAATAATGCTAAATGTCGGAATTATTCTGTTTTCAAATATCACTTGCATTTCTATTTTTTTCGAAAATGATAAAAACTAGAAAACTGTCACATTGTGACAAGAAATTAGTCTAGATTTTACCGTAAAATTAAAAAATGCAAAGATATACAGATTGTTCCATTTGAAATAACAGAGTTGATGGTGACTTCTGGTATAACCCGAAGTACGAGAAAGTTGACGCTATTTTCATTGAATAGATCTTTTTGATAAACCCCTGTATACAAATTTTCATATTTCAATTTTGACTACTTTTTGAGATAATCCTACTGGGCCCTCTTCGCCATACACCCTGTATACCCTGTTCTAAATAAAGGTCATTCTTTTAACACTTATAAAAAGAAAATTTTATAGTCCGAAAGAAGTCCTGATTTGCCTCTATGTAGCTCTTCTTATGAGGGACTCTGGAATATAAAGTAAACAAAAAACGGCCTAATGACTTGATCTAAGGTAGAAAATGTTGAACTCAGTTAATGCTATCAATGAGATGAATAAGATAGTGCATTATGTCTTTTTTTCCAGAACAGAAATGTGGGACACTTTTTATAAGACATTTTTCCAAGAATTTATAGTTATTTAAGTAAATTTAACAGCGTAAGAGCATACACAAGAACTAGTCCCTTGGCAACCTTGTGAAGAGTCGGTAAATAAGCCAAAAATTTAAAGTGAAAACGTAACGTTCAACTGTTTTTTATTTTAAGGAAACTAGCATTTACTTTATTACTGCTGTTAACAAAACCTAGTTTTAAATATTTTTTTTGTAATAGAGTAGATACTTCTTTGATATCGTAAAAATTTTAATAAAACTGATCACTACTATTTTTTTTTTCTAAATAAAAGTTAAAAAAAGATGTACAGATGATTAATAAAAAACAAAAGGAATACTTCTAAAACTATGTATATAAATATTGATTATATAGCCATTTGTCAAATTAAATAAGCTGAAACTACCTGGAAGAACTCGCGCAAAAAAAGAAGATAAATATACTACAGTTGTCCAGCTACGTAGTGCTTTTAAATATATTACTATTACTTACTTCCAATTTTTATTGAAATAATTTTCTCGTCAAAGGACGCTTTCAGTATAAAAAATGTAATTGCCTTGTATAGTAGGCCGTCAAGGACTGATTATTTTTATCATTAAAATAATAATGTCCTAACCACTCAACAAATATTTTATAGCCCCTCATTCGTTAGGTAACTTATTAGTCAGACATTTATAACTCATATTGTTAAACAAAATAACGAGCTAAAATTCTCTTCATATCTCCCTAAAAATGTGCCGTAACAGAAAGCGAGGGAATAATTCTTTTGAATAATAAAAACAAAGGCGCTCCTCCATACATTTTGACTGAAAAAAATATGTTTCGCCAATTTTTCTCTTTCATATCCATAAAAATGGGCCATGTCTCTTCCTACATAATTGAATTTTATCATTTCAATATTTCAGTTTCTGCAATTTTCCCGGACAAAGATACGCGATGGCGTATGAGTATATAAACTGTTATTTTTAACCAACAACCAGAAACATAAAATTCTTCTTGTTTGGTTTCCTCCTTAACTGTGGTATTTTTTGTCTAAAGCATAATTATAAAATTTCCAACGGTATTTCTAACTGAAAATAAAATGTTATTTAGTCCAGTACGGAGCTACAAAAATATACTTAAAATGTAGCAAATACCTGTTACTTGATATTTAGCCATTAGTCGTTACTTCAATGTTAATAAAATCAGACATAAAAAAATAGTCTAATGACTCGCTTAGGTTGATTTACGCATGTCTAGTGTCTTCGATAAGTCGCTACCAGTCGCTACAAGTCGAAGCGTCTCAAAATCGACTTCCTCCCTCCAGAAACAAACTAATCGCTCGCGTTTTGTAATTCCTTTTTTATTTACTGACAATGCATAATGGAGTGTGGATTGTCAGGAGAGGCGCTGTTACCTATTCTCCTTAATTTTACCGATAATACAGAAATATATAATTAATTATATCCAATAATAATTAACTAAACACTCAACATTTCTCTAAACTCTAAAATAAGCGAGGCTTTGTTAAATATTTACAAAACCATAATATTTACAATACCGAGTAAAAAAGTAAATATCCCATTAGTTTTAGCGCCCCTAGTTAATCTCAAATCAATACTATTAATTTAAATTGAAAAAACGTATTATTCACCACAATACAAATGCCAAACACTGACTAGGTTGATTCTAGTTTTTGTTATGCCTGGATTCCATTATAATTTGCATCACAATATAAAAATAATTTTGGTAAATAATAAAATGAAGGGATATTATTTTATATAAATATTTCCAATCAATAGATTAAATGTGAGTCATATGGGAATATCAGTAAAAAAACTGTAACATTTAGATAACACGTAATAATTAGTAAATAAAACATGATACTGGTAAAATTACACTAGCACACATCTGAGCAGTGTAGAAATATCCGTCCAGTTATTTGCGAAATTAATTAAAAATTTAGTAAAACAACAATAAATAATAAACATGATTAAGAACTGTAATAATGATGAGATAATATTCATACATACTTTAAGTAAGTCCAACAAACTGTTTAATAAACAATATACATGTAAATAAAATCACTACAAATAAATAAAACAACTACTCAAATAAATATTCTTCTTTTAAAATATTAAAGCAATATACCAACCAAACTTATTTTACAGACAAAAAGATATATGCCTCATCCACTGTATTGCTTGCTAAAACGAATATCCGAAATTATTAGATTAAACCCATTTTATTAAGTACATAAATTTTATAAGAATTTTCCAGCGTTCGCTCTAAGTGTACTTATTTTCCTCTTGGAAAATAAATATTACCCAGGCAGACGGAATGCTGTGTACTGGCATTAATGGTTTGTATAAGATTGCGGAATAGCACTTTGCTCTTCTTATCCCAACTTCTCGAGGGTTTAATATAAATATTTTAGAAAGAAAGGAATTCGATAAATGTTTTAAATAATACTCTTACAAACGCCAACATTCAGAAAATAACTAAGGGCAAATATTATATTATGTAATAACCATTTATAATATAAAAATCTCTTCCTCGAATAGTACGAAAAAAAGAACTTTATAGAGGTATATTTCATACAGGATCAGTTATGACTATTGTCAATAATAAATAATGATTTTTATGCATTTTTAGGTTTCGTTGGAAAAGGAGTGGGATTTGGAGTAAAGGAGGACCTGGTATGGTACGTCTTGTTCACAATTTTCGTCCCATACGCCATGCTACCACTCCCTCTACGATGGTGCATGATAGCTGGATTTCTTTCATCTGTAGGCCATGTCATTGTCATAGCGATTGAAATTTATAGCGGTGAATACCAGGTAAGTGGGCTATCTCTTGACTTTTTGATATAGTTTTGGCATACATCAGCAATTTATGAAGCTGACACATTTAGGTAAATTTAAAATTATACAGGGTGTTATACAACAATGTGTCAAAAATGAGAAAAAATATTCATTTTTCAGTTTATATTATAAAGTCCATTATTTTTTTTGTATAAGTTTATGAATTTTTATAGATGACATTCAGGATACTCTATATACTCTCGTCGATATAATTTCAAATATTTATTTAACATAGTGCTCTGGAAATAAATCATAATTCACCTGTGTTTCTATTGTTCCAGTGCGTCGACAGTGAAAATTGCAAAATAAGGAGAATAATAGGAAACATCCTCTTGTACATTTGCGTCAATTTCGCGGGAATGTACACGAAATATTTGACCGACCGAAGCCAGAGAATAGCGTTCCTAGAGACGCACAGGTCTATGGAAACCAGATACAAGACGCAGAGCGAAAATGACAAGCAAGAAAAATTGCTTTTATCAGGTAAATTCGCATGCACCACGCAAAAAAGTCCATACATAAATGTTAATACACTTAAAGGACATATTTCATCGCCGTCGGGTATTTTCCTTAAACTTACTTTTTTCCTGGAATGCTTTTTAATACATAAACTGGAATACTGATCGCAGTGAACGATTTTTATTCAGCATTTTAACAAAATTTCTCTATCTACAAAATTAATGTAATAACTAAATGGAAGAATGTTACTTCTTGGTTTATTGCGTTCGGTAGAAATTACATTTTATTTACCTATAATACGTTTTTTGTTTGAGATTATAAATTTTAATTACAATAAGAGTTTATTCGCTCTCGCGCCACACCGCTGAAGTTTTAATTACCTTAATAAAATATGTAAATGGAATTATGACGGTGCCAGAATTACCTTTGGACTAAAAGCCAAGTATTTATTTTGTAAATACAAAATATATTACTTTTCAATTTATTCCCGAAACTTCTTTTTTGTTTTTATGTAAATACTTGGGACGTCTTCCCTTTAAATTCTCTCCCATTCCCGAAGCAGAACAATGTATAACGAATAACAGTAATTTTAAAGACGAACTAGAAAGGTATAGCATATCTCAAAACAATCATAAATATATAAACAGATATTTCCGCGTTCTGATTTGAAAAAGCAGACATTATTTCTTTAAATATTTATGTTAAACATATTTATATGTTCGATTTTACATGTTCTGAAGGGTGGTTTATCTGAAAGCTTTTATGACAATTCTACAACCAACTCTTTATTTTCTTTAAAAAATAGAATTTTCACACTTTTTGTTAGCTTAGAATATTTGGGTATCTACAACCTTACAACCTAACCGTTACTTCATATTTGTCATCCAGTTGTAACCGTATTTTTTATTATAGTATTACCCGACTTCGTAGCAAAAGAAATGATAAGAGACATCGAAAGGGAGGAAAGGGGCGGCGCATTTCAACCCCATCAGTTTCACAAGATCTACATCCACAGATATGAAAACGTCAGTGTTTTATTCGCCGACATCAAAGGATTTACAGGTATAATTATTTATTAAGCGAATCTAAAGACGTGATTTAATACTGTTTAATTTTTTTAGTTCTAGCTACTAAGTGCACTGCTCAAGAGTTAGTTAAGATCCTAAACGAGCTCTTTGCCAGATTTGATAAATTAGCAGCTGTAAGTAAGAAAGATTTTAAGTTATTTAAGCTATAAGCTTCATGCTTGTGGTAGTTTATTTCCAAATGCAACGGTGGATGAATGTACTTAAATTTATTACCGTGTAATATATTCTTTTATCCGACTAACATTTCGTTAATGCAATTAAAAAAAATAAGACATCTAAAATGTGAATTTTTGTTTCGAAATAATATTGTGGTAAGAAACTATAATCTGATGTCCTTTGTTATTTATTTTAGGAAAATTATTGTTTGAGAATAAAGTTATTGGGAGATTGCTACTACTGCGTTTCTGGTCTACCAACTCCTCGATCTGATCATGCTCACTGTTGCGTAGAAATGGGGCTACACATGATCAAAGCTATAAAAGACACCCGATACAAAACACAGGTGAGTTACAATAACAATAAGCATTACAGAAAAAAGTATGGCTATGACGATGACAATGACGCGAAATTCTAGCCAAGATTAATATATTTTTCATTTTAAAGATACGATTTTCAAAATTTTAAAAATCGGAATTATTTTTACTTATTATTTGTATTCTAGTAAGAACGCTATTTAATAATACGAAAAAAAACGATATTGTTAAAAGTACTATTTAATTAGTACAAATGAACAAGTAGTAGATACCTATTACAAAAAAATGATTTATTTTATGCCGACATTATAATTAAATTGTTAACGTAAATTATTTAATACGTTACAGATTAATTTCATTTTCTTTTTGGTAGTATCTTTTAAAGCACGTAATCGTGAGTGAGCACATTGGTCTTTCCAACAGAAAAATCAAAAAGTCGAGCAGCGAACACATCCCACTGGTTAATTCTTATTATTTGAAAGCTGAATTAAATCACTGGAGTTTTCCTGAAACTGGATATTCATAAATATAAAATTTCAAATCTGTGTAAAAAAGAAATAGCATTATAAATTGATATATTTTAAATACGGGTGTTTTAAGTGATGCTGATTAAGGCTATGCACTCAAATTTTTAATTAAAAAAATGCTAGTGATTTTCCGAAAAATCACTTTAAAAAAAAATCGCAGCAGACCAGGGTTTACCAAAATAAATTAATTCGAGTTTTGCGAACAAATTTAGAGGGATATCCTACTTTTTAATTTATCACATTGTTTATGTGCATAGTGTAAACATATTTTTTATGGGTATTAAATCCTAAAGCCCTAAAAAACAATCATATTTAGCTTCTCGTAATTAATTAGTGTTAATTTCGATGCGTTTATTAATTTTCTCTTGAAATACGGATTTTTATTTAAATATACAGGGTGTGTAAGTATGTTAAAATATTTAAGGGGGGTATTCCTGAGTTAATTCCAAGAAAAAAAGCTTATACAAACCTTTGTCCGAAAATGCTTTGTTTCTGATATACAGGGTGTTGAAATTAAAATTTTATTTTCGATTTTCTTAAATAACTTTTACGAAAGATAAATTTTTCGTACAAAATTTGGTAACCGGGGGTTGAGGTGAGAAATCATAATTTGGTATTAATTTTTGTGTGGCACTTAGAGGGCGCTACGTACGCTATCATTATTAATATTAATTTTCCATAACTTTTTTGGCAGAAGAATTCTGCAATTTTTTATGAATAAACCATATTCCTACACCTTTTTTAAGCAAAAAGGTGTAGGAATATTAGAGGATTGTTCTCGTTGATATCCGAATTAATTCTTTGTTTCGGGCAGCAAGAAATTTAGACGTGGCATATGCCCCACGATGGATCAGCAGAGAAAGTACACACCACTGACCCTCTAGGTCACCAGACCTTAACCCCGTTGATTTTTTCCTTTGGAGTCAGTTAAAATCCCTAGTTTATGTTAGCCCCATTGAAGACGAAGAAATGTTAAGGAACCGCATAATAGATTCCTGCGAAACAATAAGAAATATTCCTGGAAGTTCCCAACAGATACGGGATTCTTTGGTGAGGAAGGCAGAAGCTTATATTAATGTCAGGGGTAGCCACTTTCAGCAGCTGTTGTAACAATGATTTTATTTAATTTTATTTTCAACACCCTGGAATACCCCAGTTAAATATTTTAACGTACTTCGGTTACACCCTGTATATGTTTTATAACCATATATGCTCTAGGTATATATCAAAAATATTACAATAATTAGATTTTACACGAAATGCTAGTCATAAATGGTATCCTAAAAGACAGGATTCCTTATTGCCATTAAATATAAAAGAGGATATCAGACAGATGTCCTCTGCAACTCATTTGACATATTCTTCTTTTAAGAAAATTATGTATCACGCTTTCGCATACCTGCGGCTGTATTTCGTTGATAACAGCAGAATAACTCTGGACTTTGTGGATAGTTTCACGTGCCATCCGGCAGGTAGCGCCATCATGCTCAAACCACATGTCATCAAAATTCATGCCGTCCAAATAAAGCCACAATAGAATCTCTCGATATCGTTCTCCATTGACAGTCGCTGCGTTTTCAGTCTCATTTTCAAAAAAGAACAGACTAATCACCCCACCAGAGTAAAATCCACATCACACTTCACTCTTTGGTATACGGTGGTCGTTCTTGAATGACCCAAGGATTGTCAATGTCCTAAATTCGACAGTTTTGCTTGTTGAAATCCACCTCATCACTAAAGATGATTTTTTAGCAAAATCACCGTCCACTCCTTGATTCTCCAATATCCAATCAACGAATGTCCGGCTCATTAAATGGTCTAATTTCAATTCCTGGTTTAACTGAATCTTGAATGGATGCAGATACAGATCTTATGTTAAAATCCGCTGCATTGTGCTTTTTGAAATGTTCCTGGCCTGTTTTTTTATTGTCTGCAACCAAACCTGTTTATTCAAATTTGGCAACTAATTTTTTCAGTTGTTTCACTCGGGGTGTTCCTTCCACCGAAAATTCTACGTAATTTGCGCACAGTCTCAGCTACATACTCTCCGTAATTATAATGCATTTTCACAATCTTCACTCACTCGTCTATCGCTCGATTTTGTTCAGAAATATTCTATAACAAATTATTTTCATTCAATTCCTCTGCCAATTTTTTCATCCTTTGTCCATAGGCTTCTTCGTATTCTAACCCTCCTATAAAAACGTCTCCCTTAACACAAAGTAGTCTATTGACCTGTTCCTATATTTAATAAGTTTAAGCTTGGTAGTATATTTCTGAAGCACGTAATCGTGAAAAGTCATTGCTCCCTCCGCCAGAAAAATCAAAGGGTCGAGCAACGAACAGATCCCATTGGCTAATTGTTATTATCTGAAAGCTGAATTAAATCATTGGAGCCCTGCTGCGATTACACTGATGGGGTCATTAACTTGAGACTAAAATTAAGTTAGCTAATGCCATTTTGGAACGCTCTTCCTACACCAATTGACCGGAAGCACGCAAAAGTAACAAAATGAAGTTCTAAAATAAAGTAAAGAAGCGGCAATGTAACAAGGTTCGACTACTTACGTCTTTGTGGTCGGTTAAATAAATTAAGTAGCCTTATATTTTTTCAATAAAAGATAGAAATCATATTTAAAATTAATTCCTCTTGGCAATTACATCAAACGAATGAAAATCGATATTGGAAATTCACGAATAACATCAAATTCAATGGATTGTACTGAAATGGGTTCCTTGTTTACAGCGGCAGAGAAATAAAATTGATTTTGTCAAACGTCGGTATATGTTTACTGGAAAGAGTTGTGATATAATGCCATCAGTTTCAAGGGCATTGACGTTGTTGATAAATAAATTACAACACAACTTGGTTTATAATGTTAACTTTCAAACTCTTATAATACAGAAAATTAAACGCTTCATTACAAATTACTAAAATATTAATTCACAAAAATCAATGTTGACTTTTAAGTTTGACTCTACGCTCCAAAAAAAGGATATAATTAAGAAATTATGTAACCATTTATACAGGGTCCCTGAAAATGATGGACAACGCTTGACCACAGGTTTGTTGGATAAAAATAAGACTATTTAGTTTAACTTACCTACAGGGTAGGAAAGTACCGATGGTTTATCTGAAGTTACGTGAGAGCGATAAAGTAAGCCATAGAAATCCATGCGATAGAGAAGGATGGCTATAATGAAGGCCTCTCATAGTCACCGCCCGTTTCGCCCTTCCACAAATAAGATCCACTTCTTATTTGTGGAAGGGCGAAATGGGCGTTGACTATTAGACGCCTTCATTATAGCCATCCTTGTCTATCACATGGATTTCTATGGCTTACTTTATACCTCTCACGTAACTTCTGATAGACCATCGGTACTTTCCTACACTGTATATACAAAAATGCACGCCTTCTAAATATAAAACATAACCTAGTTTTTTTCAAATAATTTGAAAACCGTTTTTCTTTGGAACTTCAAATTTGGTATACACATTTTTTTATACAAGGGCAATGTAAATATAGAATTTGGTGAGAATACATATACAGGATGTTCTCTTTCTAGCCTGTGCGCCACTGGCTATCCCGTATATTTGTATTTTCAAAAATAAGTAGTATTTTAGAAGATTTTTTGCCCCTTACAAAATTTTGATATCGTTTATGAAGTTCGAGTAAAATTGGCATTTTTTACACATTAAATAATATAAAATCAGATTAAGATAATTATAACAGTCTAGTAGGAGGTATCATATAAAAAAGAAACAAATTCATAACAATAATTAAGAGGTTCAGTGTCAAGTTAGGTGTGATTTAATTTTATCTTAGTTTATTTTTTATTGCAATTTATACTTCTGCCGAACAAACTGAAATGTTATTAGTTTTGGGTTATTGTGAAGGAAATTGTTGTGCTACTGTTTGAACATATGCTGAAAGATTTTCTATTCGAAGAATTCCAAATCACAAAACATTTGCTAATGCGGAGAGACGCCTTCGGGAAACAAGACGTTTTTTACCTGTAACATTAAATCGTTGATAACATACGGCCGGAACTATTCAGTTGGAGGAACAAATTTTGGAAAGGGTCGAAGAAATTCCTCAAGTAAATACAAGGCGTTTAGCGGCAGAGATTGTCTTTCAAAAAGTTCCGTTAATAGAGTATTAAAAGACCAGTTATTACAGGTTACTATCCTAACAGGTGGATAGGTAGAGGAAATAATGCCTCTTTAAAATGGCCACCTCGATCTCCGGATCTAAACCCATGTAATTATTTCCTGTTGGGGAGCGTTGAGGACCACAGTATATAACTTTTCAGTAAATACAGAAAACGAATAATGAAAAAGAATACAACATGAAATGAATGTTATGAGAGGTAATGCACAATTATTGGATAAAATTCATTTTAATTTTCGAAGAACTAATACTTGCGTTTAAGAACAAGGAAGTCACTTTGAGCATTTACTGTAATATTATTTTAATGTGATTGCAAATATCAATTTAGGTTTATTTAAAATGTTAATGTTGACTTTCTTACATTATTAGTTGATATTGTTTATTTAAAATATTAGTGATGATTTTTATTTTATTGATTGATAATACTAAGAATAAAAATGTATAGTAATTTTTTTTTAATGTGACAATTTTTCATTATTATTCTCTGCTTTGATTTTTCATTATTATTCCCTGCTTTGTGGATTATTTTTTATAAATCGGAATTTTTGCCTATATTTAATGTATAAAAATATGCTAATTTTACTCGAAATCGATAAATGATATCAAAATTTTATAAGAGCAAAAAAATCTTCTAAAATAGTGCTTATTCTTAAAAATATAAATTCTGGCCTAACTGGCGTACACACAAAAAATTACGGGATAGCCTTTGGCGCACAGGCACTAGAAAGAGAACATCCTGTACATGTATTATCACCATTTTTTTTGTTTACGTTGCGCTTATATAAAAAAATAAGTATACCAAATTTGAAGTTTCTAAGAAAACTAGTTTTCAAATTATTTGAAAAAAACTTGGTTATCTATTCTATATTTAGAAGGCTATATCTCAGTAGGCGTGCACTTTTGTATATAGGTAAGTTAGATTAAATAGTCTTATTTTCATCCAAGGAACCTGTGGTCAAGCGTTGTCCATCCTTTTCAGGGACACCCTGTATATTATTAAAATGAAACATTCTACAGAATATAAATTAAACACTTTTTTCAAAAATTATTTAAATAAATGTCCAATTTTCTCGAATTCTTTCTTCCGGTCTATTTGCAAATGTTGTGGAGTGACTCAATTCAACAGATCAAATAGTCAAGGAGTATTTTTTTCCATACTACAATCTTGCACGGTACTGAGTCGCCTATATAAGATTCAGCCACTGAAGATGACTTCCATCCCTCTATGCACTTGAATGCTATCTGGTCAGCATCAGAATTTGCCACCTTTGTGACTGCAGAGTGGCGGAAACAACAATAATTAGTTACATTGTTTTATTTGGTTACTGAAAAATCGACAATTTTCTTAAGAATATTATACAAGCTCCCTAAAAATGATAAAGAACATTGGCAACTTAAGGCTAGTTTTTTCTTTACTTTGTCAGGTCTTACGTAAAAAGAATGTTGCATGATTTATAAAAATAATTGTGTATACAAAATAAATTAATATACTATTAAGGACATCAGAATATAAATAAATTAATAAAATAAAAAATATATTAAATAATTTTTAACATGCTACAATTTAATATTTTCACAAACTTCATATAATTCTTCTGCCATCTCCTTCATTCTTTGTGCGTATGCCCCCTCATATTGCAGTTCTTCTATAAAAATGTCTCGGTTCACATAAAACAATCTGCTAACTTGCTCCTTATCTTTAAAAATATTTCTCAATTTTTCTTCTGGAAACAACACGAATTGTAAAATCATAATTCCAGGAACTGTTGGTAAGTATATATCTTCTGCAAATCAATTTTATATCTTTGTAAAATGTTCGACAGTTCCGAATAATATTCACGAAGTAATTTAGATTTATATTTTGTCCTGATTTCTTTGGTCGTGGACATGTAAAATAAAAACATTAAGTCGTGGGCAGGGGGGCAGTATCTGGTTAACTGAAAATCCACCAAATAGCAATCGATTGGCATGCTGTCTTTATCATTTTTAAATAATATATTGCTTGCCCAGCAGTCTCCTTGGCAAAACACGTTTCTAAATTTATCAGATTTCTTCACTTTTTCGAAACACAAGTCAAATGCTAATTGTCCTCTCTTCTGAAATTCCTCCATTGAAAATTTCTTAGGAATATCAAGAAACTTGCTTAACATGTTTAAAAAAGTTGTAATTGCACAGTCCAAAGTCTTTTTAGCAAGAGTCTCCTTTTTACAAACAGTTTTTTCCTCAACGTTGTCTGGATATTTTACATCAATCCTTACAATTTCGTTAGTTTTTTTGGATAGTAATTCTTCATAGAGTAAGGATGAAGCATGAATTTTATCTAGTTGCTTAATTGTAATTAACAACATTTCATAGCTGTATGTTACACTTACATGAACAGTTTTATAATTCATCATAGTCATGTCTTCGAATATTAACACTTCATTGGTTCTTGAAAAATAACACTTTGGTAGAAAGTTCGTAATATCTTTTAATCCTAAATCATTTAATTCAGGTATGAATTCCAAATAATAGAATTCTTCTTTTTTAAATGAATCTTTTGCTAAATCCATTGCCATATCGCTGTAAGTCGGCAAATATTTAGAAAAAAGGTGTAACAATTTAACCGTACCAGCATATTCTACTTCAATTTTTAATTTAAAATAATCTCCCAAATATCCTTCGCGCTCTTGTAGTGGTATTAATCTATAATTCAAAAGTCTATAATCACTTGAACCAATTTTATTTTTTAGAATCTTATAACAGTCCTCTCGAGATAAATTTGGGTGCGAAACGCACTCGATGATTTCTAAGATCGCTACACGGATTGTTTCATACTGCTTCAATTTTTTTCTGCTAGTTTCATTTATAAATGCCTGGCAGCATTGTTTTAAAATATCTAATTTAACAAAGGGAAGAAATTTGTGAAGCTGACTTTGGAACCTCGCTAACGGCAAACACTTCGTTACGTCCAAGGATAACTTCTGCATTTTCGTTTGCAAACATTTATAATAATGATCGAGGAATTGATGAAAATGATACTGTCGTATATTCTGATCAGTAAAAGAAAAAATCGTCAATAACAAATCGTAAACTAAAGGAAAACTTTGTTCTCTCTTGGTACTCAGTATTTTGTATTCTCGCATCGATTTATCTGAACTTTTAACAAGCAATTTTCTTCGAAGAATGTTGCCATAAACAAACACGATGTCTTCATTTGACTTCAATAATGTGTCATAAGAATCTTCAATCATTTTAATCCCATCTCTGAGAGTGTTTACATCCATATTTCCTTCATCCATTTCAGCTACAATCCCTTGCAAGGTAACAAAGAATGACTCTCGTTTACGCGATACAGTTTTATGTTTATTATTTTTTTCCAAATTACTTTCCTCTATACATCTTGCATGATCCTCAGCGAGCTTTTCTAAAATTACCCATAATTGTTCAATATCTATTTTGCCAAATTCGACAGCGTCATATCCTTTTATTGTAACACTTTTGATGTCATATTTATTATCAGCACACTTCAAACAGTTGTAAAAATGACTATCAGTTTCAGCATCGACTTCGTTTTGAGGTAAGTCCAACACAAATATGTATTCATCTTCTTTGGTTGTCAAAATTACTTCAACTGTTTTTTCCGTACCATGGGAAAATTTTACAAAATGATTTAAAATAATTTTATCTGCAACTAGGAAAGTATGAAAAATAGTTTCACAAAGTTCTAAGGACTCTTTTTCTATAGTGTTCATGTTTAATATTTGTAGTTTACTGTCTGAAAATTATATCCGACTGAGATTTGAGGATAGTCATTTTTTACTTTAAATATTGAATGTTATCTTTTATTTGTTTTCAAGAAGTATATTTATAAATTAATAACAAAGACAATGTCCTTAATTATTTACATGACGACTTTGTCAGACAGCTGTAAAATGAATATAATAAATATGTCAACTAATAAAACTAATTTATCTTAATTTCAATAGTTTGCATAATTTATTCTTTTAGTACAAACATTTGTATTATGCTTCTACTCATCGTATAGTTAGGTACTTCTGAATGTCTTAATTAATTATTATTTTCTTTTCCAAAAGTATTTTGTCAAGTGCAGGAACTCTTATAGTTTTTATACAAGTAATGACCAAAAAAAAATTGTAAGTTTTGATAATAATTTTTTAATTGTATATTTGGCCGCCGCAATGGAAAAAAAATATTTAACAATTATTTTAAAAATTTTAAATAGTAAGTAAAGACTAAAGCAGTACGAAATTTTCTTACAATGTTACAAAAATACAAATTTGGATAGAGTGAATAAGTCGAGGTGCAAAAATATTTTTGCAAATATAGTAGGTACCTACTTATTTTTTAATACCTACTGGCCAGACAGAATAATTCGTTGTATTGATAAGCCAGTTTAACATGATTATTCACACTTACTAGTACACAGAATAGAAAACAAGCTTAAAAGAAAAGTCTAGAAAAATAAATTATTTCACTTGAATATTTATTTACTAATAATTTTTGGAATAAAAGACACGTTTTCTTAATGAAAACTAATAACAAGTGGCGCAAAAGTACCCTCTGGCAGTATGGACAGTGGCACCATCTTATTGAAACCAGCAGTGTTGATCTTCTTGTTAGTAGAAAAAAAAGTTTTCCAACATCTCCCTGTATCGATCTCCATTTACCAATAGTGTGTGACTAACTTCATCTTGGAAAAAATAGGGCCCGATTAATCTTTGGGCTGAAATTGCGCACCATACTGTAACCTTTTCTCTATGGAGAGGTCTTTGGTGAATTAATTGTAGATTCTGTAGACCCCAATACCGCGAATTTTGCTTGTTTACGTAGCCACATAGGTGAAAATGTGTTCGGTCTGACAACCATAATTTGTTTACAAAACCTTCCTCTACGTCTGCAAGATTTAATATGGCTCGGCTGTATTCTAGACGCGTATTAAAGTCCCGTGGACTCAATTGTTGCACCAGCTGGATTTAATACGGATGCATTTGGAGATCTTGTTTCAAAATGCGCTGCAGTGATCGTCGTTTGATCCCTAGCTGCAAAAAACGTCTTCGTGTTGAAATTGTTGGTGTTTCGTGAACAGTTTCCTGCCCACGTTGAATCTTTTCAGCGGGTCTTGCTGTTTGCGGCCTTCCCTTCTTGCGGCTTCTACTGATCCTGTCTCTTCAAATTTGGCTACAAATTGCAATATCGTATGGTTAGAAGGAGCATATATCTGACATTAAAATATCGTCGGAAGTTTATCTGAATAAAAGTGATGATTCTTCCATTTTCTAAATGAAAAGTTACGATCTTTATCCTTTCTGCAGGCGTGTACCGCTCCCTATCGAAACTCCCAAGTATTTATTTTAATCTAAAAAGAAAATCAATAAATATTAATTCCAGAAAGAATAATTGAAATTAAAAATCGTGAAGGTACTTTTGCCCCTCTGTATACAGGGTGTTAAAAAAAGAGTGTAAAATATTTCCGGAGGTAATAGTATGAACCAAAATAAGCAGAAAAGTCTTAATAAACATGGGTACGCAAAGTAACGGTTGCGGAGATATGGACCGCTATTCGTTTTTCAAACATTTTATTTTATTAGGAATAAACCGACAAAGGAAGCTTTTAACAAACAAAAAACGTTCAAAGTGCCCTCCGTCCATTTCCAAGCAGGCACGACACCTTCGTCTCAACGATATTCGAACTCTTTCGAAAACACCCTCCTTGGTTTGGATTTCTTGACACTTTTGATTAATCCGTAGCTACAGCTCTTCCAGGCTATTTACAGGAGTACCATACACTAATGTCTTCAAATATCCCCAAACAAAGAAATCTAGAGGGTTCAGATCAGGCAATCTTGGAGGCCATAAAACAGATCCGGTCCTTCCTACCCATCTATGTGGAAAAGTTTGGTGTAAATGCTCTCTAACGGCCATGAAAAAATGAGCTGGAGCACCATCATGCTGGAACCACATTTGTTGCCTCTGATTGAAAGGAATGTCTTTCAAAAACTCATACAGTGTGTTCTGCAGAAAGTTGAGATAAGCAGCGCCTGTTAATCGGTTTGGTAAAACAACAGGACCTAGAAACCTGTCACCTACAATAACCATCCAAATGTTTAAGGAAAAACGTGCCTGATGTCCAGATTCTATTAGAGCATGAGGATTTTCGTCGGCCCAAATATGCGTATTGTGAAAATTAAACACTCAATTTCTTGTGAACCCGGCCTCATGAGTAAAAAGAATGTTTGCAAGAAAACGAGGGTCTTCAGCATCATGACGTAGAAACCAGCGGCAAAAAACTAAACCTGCTTGATGATCATTTATTGGATTTAAGGCCTGTACTCGTTGCATATGGTATGGATAAAGCAGTTGCTCGTGAAGGATTCTCCAAACAACAGGACCACTAATTCCTACCTCGGCTGATATTCTCCGCACACTCGTACCTGAATTCTGCTCTACCAGCGCTAGAATTTCTTCTTCTGCTCTAGAAGTGGATACCGACCTTGGTCTTCCGGATAAATGGCACTGTTTGCTCAAGGAACCGGTATCACGCAATCTTTGATGAATTCTTCCAAACATGCGATGTGAAGGAATCTGGCGATTTGGATAAGCATCAACATAAAGACGTCGCGCTTCGGTGGCGTTCCCATTAGCACGACCATACATGAAATGCAGTCTGTTAATTCTGCGTTAGAGTAACCACCCATAGCGAAAGAAAACTTGTACACTGAGAACAACTGTCAAATACGTACTGTTTATTTCACTAAACATCAACCAACTATTATAAGAAAATACACAACGTTTTTGTAAAATAAAAAAAGGGGCTAAAAACATAAAACATTCTATATCTCCGCAACCGCTCCTTTGCGGACCCATGTTTATTGAGACTTTTCTGCTTATTTTGGTTCATATTATTATTTCCTTAAATATTTTACACTCTTTTTTTAACACCCTGTATGTAGACCTGATTATTGCCTAAAACTGAACTAGCAATCTTTCTGTTTTCTACAAAAAAAAAAACGAGATAAAGAAGCAATACACAATTTACGGCTACAAATATTTACCTCTTTTTATGTAAGATGTATCTGCAGAATGATTCCAGAGGTTCTGAATAAATTTTGACAATTTTGATTATTATTAATTTTTTGCGTCATTTAAAATGCTTATTCATTCAATCAATAAAAAAATTTCCCCATGGTATGCTAGAGTCAAATGATATAATTTATTATTCTTCACAAAAAAAATCCGATCCGACGAACCTTCGCAAGCCCAAACCCGAGAACCTGGAAATTGGAAATGATAAATATGTATTACAATAAATAGAGTACAGGGCATCCTACTAAGGTCGGCGAGGTACGATATTAGGAAAAGTATAGGCCCTAGAACTTCGGGAAACAAAATTTGATTAATAAATCGACCAAGAGAAATCGCTGGAAATAGTTTTCTAGTTCGTTAAGTATCTTTTATTTAAATGAAATAAATACTATTCAGAATTAGCGTCCCGATTTTTTCAATATAAACCTCGCGTTTTTGTAACAGTCGTTCCTAAAAGTCATAAAGAACAGTTGCAAACTTTAAGGCTAGTCTTTTTCTTTCCCATGTCAAATTTTGCGTAAAAAGAGTGTTACGTGATTTATAAACATTACTATTTAGTATACAGTATAGTTACAAATTAAATTAATGTACATTTAAGTCGGTGAAAATATAAATAAATTTATAAAGTAAAAATTTAATAAATCATTTTTAATCGTCTAAATCCTTATATGTACATGCTACAATTTCATATTTTCACAAATTTCATATAATTCATCTGCTATCTCCTTCATTCTTTGTGCGTATGCCCCCACACATACAACAATCTGCTAACTTGCTCCTTATCTTTAAAAATATTTTTCAAATTTTCTTCTGGAAACAACACAAATTGTAAAATCATAACTGCGTGGCAGGGAACTTGAGATCTCATATATTCACAGCTCTCCAGGAACTGTTGATAAGTATATATCTTCTGCAAATCAATTTTATATCTTTGTAAAATGTTCGACAGTTCCGAATAATATTCCCGAAGTAATTTAGATTTGTAATTTGTTCTGGTTTCTTTGGTCGTGGACATGTAAAATAAAAGCATTAAGTTGTGAGCAGGGGGGCAGTATCTGGTTAACTGATAATCCACCAAATAGCAGTCGATTGGCATGTTGTCTTTATAATTTTTAAATAATATATTGCTTGCCCAGCAGTCTCCTTGACAAAGCACGTTTCTAAATCTATAAGATTTCTTCACTTTTTCGAAACGCGAGTCGAATGCTAATTGACCTCTCTTCTGAAATTCCTCCATTGAAAATTTCTTAGGAATATTAGGAAACTTGCTTAACATGTTTAAAAATGTTGTAATTGGACAGTCAAAAGTTTTTTTAGCAAGAGTTTCCTTTTTACAAATAGTTTTTTCCTTAACGTTATCTGGATATTTTACATCAATCCTTACAATTTCGTTAGTTTTTTTGGATAGTAATTCTTCATAGAGTAAGGATGAAGCATGAATTTTATCTAGTTGCTTAATTGTAATTAACAACATTTCATAGCTGTATGTTACACTTACATGAACAGTTTTATAATTCATCATAGTTATGTCTTCGAATATTAACACTTCATTGGTTCTTGAAAAATAACACTTTGGTAGAAAGTTCGTAATATCTCCTAATCCTAAATCATTTAATTCCGGTACGAACTCCAAATAATAGAATTCTTTTTTAAATGAATCTGTTGCTAAATCTATCGCCATGTCGTTGTAAGTAGGAAAATATTTAGTAAAAAGATGTATCAATTTAACCGTGCCATCAGATTCTACTTTGCATGCTACTGTTCATTAATAATTTTCGCAATAAAAAGACACACGTCTCCGTTATGTAGAACTGATTTTGATATAAAGTTGAAACTGAACCAATTTTTAATCATCTTTTTTCTAATGTCACGTTATTGAAATTAGTAGTACTAACTTCTCCCAATATTTTCTTCCTATAATGTAAATTATTAAATAGTTCTTTATTTTATCTTTGTGTAATTTATTATAAAATGTTGTTAAGGGTGTAAAATAAATTAAAGAAATTATTTGACCAAAAATATGTTTTTTTAATTCGATTTTCAATATTGTGTAGCATATGCTATGAATCACAGTGTATTTGTTGTCCTCCTTTATAAGTTAAAAAAGTGGTAAATCAGATTTGTATTATAACGTCTACAACTAGTGTTAATAAATTCAAATTTTATTTAGTATAAATCTTTTTTCTAAACACCGTGTTTTAAATCAAAAATATCCAAAGTGAACATTCAAATATACTCGCAATAATCCCTCAAATCCTGAATGGACTCCTTCAAACGCTTGGTATAAGACTCATCCTTGTCTTTGTGTGCTAACACCAGATGGCTCCTGTCCTCGAACAAAGCTTTTTCGTTAAGTTCTCTATCCGAAAAGTAGGCCTCGACTTCGTCGTTGCTTATCAGAATTAACGGAAAATATATCGCCGTCTGGACAATAGCGAAGAGCTTTTGTTCTTCACAGCTTTCCATGAAATTGGAGAAAGGAATGATATTGTTTATATTAAAACCGGCCATTTTCAGATGTCTCTCCAGGTAACTGTAGTACATGCCAATAACTTTGTACATGTTGTCTTTCCTGAAATCTCTGTTGGTGTTCAAATAAAGAAACGAAAGCACGTCCTGAGCAGGTGGTACATATCTGCCACATTGAAAATCTACAAATTTACATCCACTTATAGACTGGTCCTTTGAATCGTATTTGAGCAAAAAATTCGTTGCCCACAAGTCGCCATGACATAATGTGTTTCGGAACTTCTTGGAGGGCTTCACTAGTCTATAGATTTCATAGCACAAATCCTTGGCAACCTTGGAGAAACTTTTGCCTGACACAAGCTTATCAGAAAAGTCAAAAATATCGATTTCGTTCACTACACACTTGATCGAAGCCTCGACACCTTTTGCATTGACAAAATCTTCGCGGTCATTGAAGAAAGATTCTTCTAGCTGTTGCTCGAAGTTGTCAATTAGTCTATAGTGTTCGCCTAGCTCAGCAGATCGTTTCTCTTCGTAAATTATGCTACTCGCATGCAATTTTGCTAGAGATTGAAGCACAACTAGCACACTTTCATAATCCAAGGTTTTGTGTTTATCTAAAGTCTTGTAACCTTCACTAATTAAATTATCTAGAATTAAATACTTGTTATACTGAGCTATGTAACAGGTCGGCGTGACGCTAGATATTAGGCTAATATCGCTAGTTTTGAATATATCGAAAAGCTCATAGACGAACATTTCTTTTTTGAAAGCTCCGATGCCTTCAGCAAAACTTGCTGGAGCTGCAAATTTCGGGAAAAACTTCAAGAAGAACGAAATATTCCTTTCTTCCCCTTCTGCATCCAGTAGTGAAACGTGTAGGAGGCTATGGTCTCCTAAAAGCCCTATCCGTTGGATAAGGGGTTCGAGGGTGTATCTCAAAATCACAAGATTTGATGTGGAAAGTTTGTTTTCCACCGTCTTGGTGATATCATCTTTACATATTTCTTCGAATTCTTCAGCTTCGTTTGTGGGGTGGTCGTTGTCTGTCATACTCAGCAATCTACAATCAAATTTGTTTTACTATTTAGTATCTAGTAGATGTTTTTGCGGATTTTAAAAACGTAACATATTATAAGAAAAACTTATTTATTTTACATTACAATTACATTTTATATTATTATAATAATTAAATTCATTAAATAATTTGCTGTTATTCTAACAGTGTCTTAATATTTTATAATAAGTCAACAAAATAATTTTCCGACATTGAATGAACTGAATCAATTCATAGAAAACTGAATCTATTATTGAAATTGGTAATAAGTAAATCAATGTATAAGTACCTATTGATTTTTACTATTATAAATTATGTTAATTATACATTTATTTCCTGAATATATGAAATATTATACCATCTGTCGTCGTTAAATATAAAATTCAAGCAACCTAAGATAATACATACAACGTGTCCCAAAAGTATGGAAACAGCACAATAACTTTCGAAAAATGCATTTTGAGGAAAAATGATTGAGACAAAAGATTTAGGATTTTTCCCTGGCTATTCAATGGTGACCCTAGATTTGACTTCGACTTTGACCTTCAAAGTTATTTCAAGGTCAAGTTAATTTTTTCAAACAGGATACCCTACTTTTGATCCCGGAAATGAAAAGAGCGGAAAATTTTACGTTCGGATATGTCCTTGACCATTTTCCAAGATGGCGGATCCAAGATGGCGGATCCAAGATGGCGCACGCGATTCCAAAAAATTAGCCGATTTACGCCAAATTTGGTATGGGGGGGGGGGTTTGGAGTCGCTGATTACGAATTTGAAATCTGTTTTTGAGGAATTTTTGTCCAAGATGGCGGACGCGGTTCCAAAAAATTTATCGATTTACGCCAAATTTGGTATAGGGGTGTTTTTGGGGTTGCTGACTACGAATCTGAAATCTGTTTTTGAGGAATTTTAGTCCAAGATGGCGGATCTAAGATAGCGGACGCGATTTCAAAAATCAACCGATTTTTGCCAAAATTGATATAGTGCGGTTTTTGAAGGTGAAGGTCACGGTCAAATCAAGGGTCACCGTCAGATAGCCAGGGAAAAATCCTACAATGTTAGTTATGGTCATTTTTTTGCAACCCGTTGTTTTCAAGACAGCGCGCCAAACCATGTGTGACCTTGATTTGACCTTTAATGACCATCAGAGGTCAAATTCAGAAAATGGTCAAGGACATATCTGAACGAAAAATTTTCCGCTCTCTTCATTTCCGGGGTCAAAAGTAGGGCATCCCATATGAAAAAATTAACTTGACCTTTAAATAACATTGAAGGCAAGGTCAAGGTCAAATCTAGGGTCACCATTGAATAGCCAGGGGAAAATCCTAAATCTTTTGTCTGAATCATTTTTCCTCAAAATGCATTGTTCGAAAGTTATTGTGCTGTTTCCATACTTCTGGGACACCCTGTATATTAATTGATACATACAAAAATGAAATAAAAGATGTTGATTAAATATTATAAAACGATCATTTTTTATTGTTATCTAGTTTCATATATTTAAATAGTATTACGATGAACAATAACTTGTCAAGTATCTTGTGGTATCATAAGAGAATAGAATATATTTATAATTACATTACTAAAGTCTCCCTCAAACGTAAACTCAAGCCACGTCTTTGTCGTCTTTGTTTTTAAATCTTATTGTGGCTTAAAATATTATATCGTTCTCAATTAGAACAATCAGGATAATTTGCAAGAAATTATTTTAGCTCGTTTATACTTAATTTAATTTAGTCACATTGTCATTTGTCTGTAGGAATTTCTTACCTTCTTTATCGAAACTCTCAACAACAACGGCAAATTTTATCACAAGAGCATAACCTAACACTTAATTAATGACTATCATGAATACTTAACTAGTTGGCAAATGTTGTATCAGACAACCCAAGGTTATCAGTGTTATCGTGAACTAATATTTAATTTTTATGTACAAGCTATAAACAAAGGAAGGTATTTTGGTTAAATATATATGAATAATGATATTCACGTATGTTTACCAAAATTATGCAATTTTTACACTAATACTAATGACTTGATTAGAATACTTGGCGCATTATACATACATTTAACTATTAATGTTTGTTTCCGTCAATAAATCGTCAATAAACGATAGTTATTTGTTTAACTACACCACATTTAAACTTTAGCTACACCATCAATAAATTCAAGAACTGATATCACAACTTTAAGAATATATGGTGGATGGAAATCTTCAACGGTAGCTGAAGACTACATTGAAGAGTCAATAACTCGTAAATCAGTTGTTAGCAAAAAAAAATTCTTACTGCCAGTACATCAAGTGCTGGAAGCGATTTTTTAAATAACTCAACCACTTTGAGGCTTCAATAGTTCATAAACCAGCTACTAGTTAAAACACCAACCTAAATAGATGAAGAAAATGTTTCAAAACAAACAGGACAAAGGATATCCCTTACAGGCTGATCTAATTTCTCTATAAATATTTACAATAAATATAATTACTTTAGTTAAAGAACGGCAAAAAAATTATTCTAATGCCTAGGCAGTAAATGTGCCTAAATAATAAATAAAGACGTTGGCAATATGTATATTTTCTCAATTTTATGTAATGTGTTTTTGAAAATGAGAGAGTAGATATAAATTTTCGTCACGCCTATAAAATGTTTGCAGGTAGATGACCTAGACATGAGAATTGGAATCCATTCGGGATCTGTGCTATGTGGTGTCATAGGATTAAGAAAATGGCAATTCGATATTTGGTCATCAGACGTCAGACTGGCTAACCACATGGAATCAGGTGGAAAACCAGGGTAAACATAGCATCCTCAACAATATCCTTATATTTTTCTTCGCGTTATTTTGATACCGAAACAAAAATTTTCCCTTGAGTTTAGAATGCGATCGTCATTTACTCTTGAAAGTATTTAGTAGTTTCGAATCGAATCTCTTCATATTGGGCAGTTTATTCTTCAATTTATGTACTTTTAGGCAGGTTCATATCTCAGAGGCTACTTACCAGTGTCTAAATGGAGCATACGAGGTAGAACCAGGCAGTGGTCAAGACAGAGACTCATACTTAAGGGAACATGATGTCACAACTTACTTGATAAAGCAAGTAGAACCAATGAGACCTCGGAGGCGTTTGACCTCCAGACCCAGGTAACTTGATGCTTGTTAGAATCTCATATAAATCGTTTATACCATTTAACAGAGTTAGATTTGCTATTTGATTTTCTCTGACAGCATATTTTCTAACAAACTATGGCCTGAAGAAGATATCAAAAGTGGTTTCAGCTCACCAAAAACTCCTTCCACACCGGCTTCACCCCCTCCGCCACCCTCAAGAGAAAGAAGCGACAGTGGGATACAGCACAGTGCGGTAGAAGATGAAAATACTACGGACTGGACCCCAGAAATACCTTTCGAAAACGTAAGTGAGCTGTATTCATTTTTGATGCACTTTTCAAATTTATATTTTAGTTGCATCGCGCTTTGTCGGGCGATTTAGACGAAGAAATGGACACGATTTCTTATAAACAGAAATATGAACCAAGCGATCCAAGGTTGAGAAAAAGAGGATCGACCCTAGCCTCCACGGCAGAGCAGATTGACGATATTATAGATCACAGTATAGAGATAGAAAGCAACAAAAGAATGAGAAATGCCAACGTCAATCCGTGGACCCTCAGGTTCATCGACACAGATATGGAATACCAGGTAATTTTTCAAAGTGCTCAATATATTTTGTAGTTGTTGAGAAAATATATTTTCAGTTCAGTCAGTTAAGGGAAGACATGTTCAAATCCAACATGATATGTTGCTTCATTATTTGGTTATTCATCGTGATTTGTCAAGTAACAATAACCAATCTAGAAGAGTTCGTAATAACTTCTTTAGTAATCGCAACGGTAATATTGACTTCCACATCGATCCTAGTAATGGCTGAGGAATTCCAACAGTTTCCTGAATCGCTGCAACGAATCTCCTCCACTCTGGTCCACAACAGAGACAGAAGAACCGCCTTCATTTGTGGAGTCATCGTAATAATGTCCCTAGCTAGTTCTATTAGCTTAGTTAATATCAATTCCAAGAATACAACAGTTGCAACAAATACTACACCGACCGCTTCTTTCGCTTACCTCGTCCGAAATGCGGAGACTGCACCAAATCAATCCATTGTGCTGAATCTTTCTGTAAATGCCACCATCAATAACAATTATACCATAAACATAAGTAATAGTTCAACTTGTGCAGGGGACTGCATCAAGAACATCCTTGAAAAGATAGGATTAAACGAAATTATAGAAGATGCGGAGAATATCACCAAATTGACAAACGCAACGTCGCAAGCAATAAAAAATCTCAATAAAAAACTGTCTAATATTAGTCATCTAGTTGAAACCAAGGAAGTTGTAGTAACAGAAAAAAATATTACTTTATTCCGAAGAAAAAGAAGCACTGCAACTACTACCACGGATATACCATTAACAACTGATAATACATCCACAAATGTTCCTGATACTGGGACTAGTACACTACATAGTTGCAGACATCCCGAATACATAGTCTTCACATGGGTGCTGTGTTTGATTGCACTTGCTACTGCTCTGAAATTGTACTATTTGATAAAACTGTTTCTGGCTGCGGTGATGGTAGGGATATACACAGTTCTAATCCTCCTGCCATACAATGAAGCTTTCAATAATCTTCACAGCAAAGTAGACGAGTGAGTTGTATATCATTTAGTAGGTATTTATGTGTTGAACATTTTTAGAAATATTCTTTTTTTCCAGTCAGGTGATACCAATGTCTGCCCAAATGTTAATATTGCTGACTGTATTCTTCCTCATGGTGGCATATCATGCCAGATTGGTTGAGGTCACTTCCCGATTGGATTTTTTGTGGAAACAGCAAGCAGAAAGGGAACTCAATGACATGGAAGAAACTAGGCATAATAACACTCAGCTTTTGAAGAATATCCTGCCAGATCACGTGGCGCAACACTTTCTTTCTAACGACAGAAACGGAGAGGTAAATTCATCTACAACTTTTTAAAATGGATTATCAATTTTAGCTATTTTAGGAATTATATTCTCAGTACAGGGAAGAAGTTGGCGTTTTATTCGGAAGTATACCAAATTTTACAGACTTTTATTCTGAAGACATAAATAAAGGCGTTGAGTGCATTCGCCTTTTAAATGAAATAATAGGTTGGTACATTTCTATTCGCACTTCTTTGGAAAATTCCAGAGTGCTGTTACAACGGATTTTATTTTTTTTTTAGCTGATTTCGATGAACTTCTCGACGAGGAACGATTCAGTTCGATAGAAAAAATAAAAACCGTGAGTGCTACAGCAACGTATATGGCAGCTTCTGGTCTGAACCCCACGCATAAAGTAAGAATACTTTTAAATTTACATTGCTTTAGTGAAACGTAAATATACAGGGTTCTTCACGGTAAGTGGCCTATGACCTACGTTTCAGAGGAATCCAAGACAATATGACTCTGAAATTTTGTTTACGGGGGTTATCAGATATGTTCTCTTCAATGAAAATAATACCATCAACGTAGCACTTCCGGCTGTACCGGAAGTAGCTGTCAACTTCTTTATTTTAAATGGAACACCCTATGTATTATTACATTATCGACAAGATAAATTAAAAATAAGTCAAAATTGTTAGAGCTTCCCTTTACCTAAATCTAACCGTTTTCGAGATAATCGTCATTTTACAAACAAATTGACAGATGCAAGCGTTTCGAAAATTTCTTATATCTTTCGAAAAGCAAGTGAAAGCTTGCAAAACTTGCTTGGAAAACGCTTGCATCTGTCAAAATTTCTATAAAATGTCGATTATTTCGAAAACGGTTAGATTTAGGTAAAGGGAAGCTTTAATAACTTTGACTTATTTTTAATATATCTTGTCGATAATGCAATAATATATAGAATGTTCCATTTAAAATAACGAAGTTGACGGCTACTTCCGGTATAACCGGAAGTGCTACGTTGATGGCATTATTTTTATTGAAGAAAACATATCTGATAACCCCCGTAAACAAAATTTCAGCATATTGTCTTTGGTTCCTCTGAAACGGCCACTTACCGTGAACAACCCTGTATAAATAAAACTTCTCTGAAGATAGAGACACCTGAGTGTGTTTCCAAAGCAACACACTGCGGCCAAAATTTTTTTCTAATAAATACTTTAATTCGAGGCTGCAAAATATCATATAAATTGATGTTTTCGAAAACTGTCATAAAAAGTCTATATTTTTTAACACCTAGCTGCAAAATAGTTTTATGTTCTAGAACGCCAAAGTCTTTTCCGTTCTAGAACATAAAACAAATGTCAAAATAATTCGTAATTTTTTCGAAACTTATTTATGATTTTATTAATTAAAGAATATACATACATTTTAAGTACCTAATATAATATTTCTATACAAAACAGTAACTTCGTGTAAATTGAAAGTGCCGATATCGCAGTGAGTTATATTTATGCCAGATCCAATGCTGTCAGTTATTGTAGCTTTCCGTTCTGGTGTTCAATAAGGCTGCTGCTGAAATTGTTTAAATTTACTGCGCACGTTGTATTATTGGCAAGTTCCGAAGGCTCTGCTGAAGTGGTAACAATTTATTTGCGATTGAAATTTAATTTTGTATTAAATGTTCTATTGTCTCCGATACCGTACTAGAACGCCAGCCCCCTAAAACAATCTTCGACTTGTAGTAATTGCCGGACGTAAAGCACAGTATTTGCGGTATATCTTCATTTGGTCTGGACTTGAAATCACAAAACATCTCGGACCATGAGTTTTCGAATAGGGAGTTCTTATAATAATATTGATATATATGATTGAGTCTTCCCCTTCTATATCATCGATCGTTATCTTTATAAGTAGATCATCTCTTCCCCAAGCTCCACAAAACACCAATTATAAAAATAACCTGAAAAGTAGTCTAAAATTAGTTAAATCAATCGATTTATATTAATTTGAATTACCTTTTCTAGCAGAAATCTATTATCAGGTGCTTCTTGTAAAAATCTCTTAATGTCTTCTTTTGTTAGAATTCTGCTCCGATTTAAAAGTCGTATTTAATATTAAATTATCTGATTATTTACTAGTTAAGGTTGCAAAAGAATGGGTTTACATTGCTGTTGAAACCTTGAAATTTTCTGAAACAGGTTAATGTGATAATTAAACAATATTTTGCTTGTCTCAAACTAATCTTTTTATTATTTTTATTTTTATATGTATATTTATATTATATTATTTTATTATAAAAGGCTTTGGTGTTATCACATATAATTTATTGCATTAAAGCGTATTATCCATTAAAAAGAAAATATACAGGGTGTTTCAATTAAAACGTCCCACCACACAATTACCACCACCACAATTAAAATATCGGAATTAAAAAAAAAGGAAAAAACCTGAGACACATCGATTTTATCTGACGACCTTCTTCAACAATTTCTGGAAAAAAAAATTGTTTAACCAAGTGCGTTTAAAAAAAATATTGTAATGTTTTAGAACGCCACCATAAAAAAAATCGTTTTAGAACTGATATACACAATATGAATGCAAGATTTAAAAATATGTTATCCATGCCAACACTAAAACGTCTTTATTTCAATGTTTATCAAATAACAAACTTGCATTCTACTTTGATTTAATGTCAATATTTAAAAGTTGTATTTTGCCCAATAAATATTTTCTATTGCTTATGTCACATTTTATTTTTTATTTCTTCTTCTAATTATTATTAAATTTAATTCCAAATTTAGGTACCTAATGTTTTGTGAAATTACTGATTTCTGAAAATGTTTAGAATGAGTTTGAATTTAAGTTAAAACCGCGTTTTGCGAAAGTATAAATTTTACAACAGTGATACTCCTTTGTGGACTGTGGTGGACTGGTGGACTGTCTTTGATATGTTTTTATTTTAGGACTGTCGAAATTCTGATGGTCCAGAACATCTTTGCGCTCTAGTGGATTTCGCAATAATGATGCGCCTGAAACTAGAGGAGATAAATAAGGACTCATTCAACAATTTCGGCCTGAGAGTGGGCATATCTTGCGGTCCACTTGTGTGCGGGGTGATCGGGGCTAGAAAGCCAGTGTTCGATATTTGGGGAGATACAGTCAACCTCGCTTCCCGTATGGACTCGACTGGATCTATCGGGACCATACAGGTGCCTAAAGAGACTGCACAGGTAAGATAGAATTGACTTTATTTTTCATAATACTTAACAACAATCTCTTAATTATACAGGGTGATTCAGTGATAATGTCGTTAATTTTAAAGGAAGATAGGGAAAAATGAATAGAATACGAACATGCGATGAATAAAATTTTAAAATGCATATTTCCGCTGAAAAAAATATTTTCACATCAGTATTTAAATCTCTTTTCGTTCCGCTCCTGACCGCTGATCTACAAAGGTTTATCGAGAGTGAATCTTACTGTATTCGGTCACTAACCTAGCTTTTACTGCGTTTTTAATAGTGATCGACAAAAACAGACCTTTTTACCTGGAGACATGAATGAATAAGAATTTTTGTTTATTTTAAATATTAACAAGTATTATTTTTTGTTAATAAAAATGAATAATAATCGTTTTTGAATGTTGGATTATTGCAATTTAGAATTTATAATATTTTCCATTTTCTTTATGTTTTATAATAATTGAATATATATTTTTAGTATTATCATTGTATAAGTTTATACAATGGTATTATGTTCAATTAATTATTCAGTTTGTAGTAATGTGACTTATTGCTTTTCAAAAGTAGTATGGTACCTACCTATACCTATTTAATATGGCAGAACGGCTAAAACAACACTCACCAGTCCATAATCCGTAGCACTTTGTTAATAAAATGATGATGCACTGCACTTTGATTTTGAAACCGATTACAAGACGACTGTGGAAATCGGCTGTTTCTCTTCAACGTTCGAACGCTCTGTGGTGCGCCGGCGCGTTCCAGTAAGCAAGTGTGATGCAGTTAACGGAAGTTAAGGGGTAACTTGCTTATTTTTTAAAAGGTCGAGTAATTTTTTTCGATTTTGTCTTTATTAGGACTTCCGAATACGTGGTTAAAATTAATGACATTATGACTGAATCACTGTGTATACACAAAAAAAATTGAGTGTTGTTAATCTCTGAAATAAAAACACAAACCACTGGTAATAATAATAAAATTTTGACTATTATATTGGACATAAGAAGGACAATGTAAATTCAATTTAAAAAATTATAATTCGATTTTAATATTTTTCAGCGTAGTGTTTCCAAATATTTTGTATCGTCGCTGGTATGTCAGTTAATAAGTTCACTACGAGTTCGACTGATCTATTTTTTTCTATATTCATAGTTATTTAAGTAAATAACTGCGTGCAAACAATTAGTAAAGAATGGTAAACTTTTCATTAACATATTCAACATTTGATAACTTTATGAAAGTATTTCTTGATAATGGCAGGTATACAATTAAAATTTTAAACATCAAGCCTCAGGATATTAAGGAGACTCCGACAAACCTAACATCTATTATATGGTTAGGCTTGTTTTAATCATAAAACATATTGGAAAGCTGTAAACCTGGTACTGGCGGCAAGCACAATGGTTATGGAAATTTCTAAAACATAGCACAATATGACTGATCGCGTAATCACAATTACACATTAATGTTAAAGACTAAAAGCAGAAAATGTTGTTCACATGACTAAAATTTCACAGTTACATATTTTCATACCAATATCTTTTCCTATGTTACCTATACTTGCAGATCCTAGGTGTCAGAGGATATGAGCTCAAGAAACGAGGAATAGTAGATGTAAAAGGAAAGGGTCTTATGGAGACATATTTTGTCATAGGCAGACAAGTTAAGCGGCCGCCGAGTTTCCAGCGACAGCCAAGTCATTATAGTAGCTTGGCAGCTGTTGTGTATGCTCTGGCTCAAACTAGGCGGAAACACACTGGGAACACACGTAAGTCTAGATTCTAGAACATAAAACACACTTTTGTACTTATTTCATCAATTGTTTCAATATTTCCTTGTTCAATTGTTTGGAATTGGTCTATTGATTTTCAAATAGGACTTTCTTACGAATTTATTATTCAGCTTATAGGTATTTAAAGATTTTTTCATTAATTTGATGGAGGACAATTCTTTAAGATCACAAAGATTATTTATCAAGATATCGTTTTTCAGCTGGGAGCACGGTGCTAGGGCGAGCGAGAACGCAGCAAAATGGCAGCAAAAAGATCATGAATTACAGCTCCATGAGGATCACTCATAAAACTGGAGGGTATCCTGTTAGGAGAAACACCACTAGAGCCAATCAGAGGAATATGCACGCAAGGTACAAGAATACATTTTCAGCCTCAAAGTGAAATAAATTTTGAGAAATAATTCGATTCGAACTTTTAAACATTAAAATTTTTAAAAAATGCGGATTATTTGAAATAAAACAAAATATAAATTGTAGTATGTATACAGGGTGTTCCAGATCCTTCAATTAGGCGTTTCTGGAAAACTACGCGTACTAGAATTCTGTAAATTTATGTACACGGATTTTTCCTAATGTTCTATCGATTGAAAATATTGGCGTCGCCGTGGAACTTCCGGTTCTACCGGAAGTAGACGTCAACTCGCTTATTTCAAACAGAATGTACTATTTTTTATTTAATTTTTGGATTCTACATCGAATTTTAAGATAAGTTTCATAACCTTACTTTATCCTTAAACTCAATAGTTTTTGAAATATTTTGACTTTTTCAAAATTTTTTAAAAAAACATACCTATACTTAATCAGTTCTATCTCCTCCAATTTTTAAGATAGGAAGCTGAAATTTTAGATGGTCAATACCAAAACGTGTCCAAATATCTGGAATATTCGAAAGTTGGTGCATGTTACACAGGGCGTCAAAAAAACACGGACCAATTGTGTCAAATTGAAAGTTTAATAACTCGCTTATTTTAAATAGAACACCCTGTGTTTTATAATGCCAGTAGATGCACCTGTTAATTCTCTTTCCATTGGTATAAGCATTCCCTATACCTAAATCCCACCGATTTTGAGATATTTGAACATAAGTACAGAGACGAATATAATCCGACAGTTAGCTGTAGGTTGGCTGTGGAAAAACATTTAAATGTCACCAAGTGTCATTACTTATTTAGCAGATTTGCTGTCATTGCTGTAAAGCGAGTTTGTCGATTTTCCAAGTGTTTTCAATAACAATGGCACACTCTGGGTACACACACGACGACTTTTTAAATTTAATTATCATTTACGGGGAGTATAATAGAATTGTTAGTAGATCATGTCGCGTGTTTGCAGAAAGATTTCGAAATAAACACAGACCAAGTCATGATATGGTCAGAAGACTATTAAAGAATTGTTCTGAGAATGGAAAGTTTCTCCCGAAACATGATAAAAGTAAGACATCAGTGGACAACGAAGAAAATGAAGTAACTGTATTGGCATTTTTCACCGCTTATCCACAGGCTTCAATTAGAGATGCATAATAAATTCACGTATATCAATAGGAACTATTCACAGAATTCTGAAGAAGCATAAATGGAACCCATTTTCATTTATGTTACTACACCATTTGCAACCTGACGATTTACCCCGACGTGTAGTCGTCGTGTGTGTACCCAGAGTGTGCCATTGTTATTGAAAACACTTGGAAAATCGACAAACTCGCTTTACAGCAATGACAGCAAATCTGCTAAATAAGTAATGGCACTTGGTGACATTTAAATGTTTTTCCACAGCCAACCTACAGCAAACTGTCGGATTATATTCTTCTCTGTACTTACGTTCAAATATCTCAAAATCGGTGGGATTTAGGTATAGTGCTTATACCAATGGAAAGAGAATTAACAGGTGCATCTACTGGCATTATAAAACACAGGATGTTCTATTTAAAATAAGCGAGTTATTAAACTTTCAATTTGACACAATTGGTCCGTGTTTTTTAGACGCCCTGTGTAACATGCACCAACTTTCGAATATTCCAGATATTTGGACACGTTTTGGTATTGACCATCTAAAATTTCAGCTTCCTATCTTAAAAACTGGAGGAGATAGAGCCGATTAAGTGTAGGTATGTTTTTTTCAAAAATTTTGAAGTCAAAATATTTAAAAAACGATTGAGTTTAAGAATAAAGTAAGGTTATGAAACTTACCTTAAAATCCGATGTAGAATCCAAAAATTAAATAAAAAATAGTACATTCCATTTGAAATAAGCGAGTTGACGTCTACTTCCGGTAGAACCGGAAGCTCCACGGCGACGCCAATATTTTCAATCGATAGAACGTTAGGAAAACTCCCGTATTTAAATTTTCAGAATTCCAGTACGCGTAGTTTTCCAGAAACGTCTAATTGAAGGTCTATCTGGAACACCCTGTATAAATTTTTAGAAAATTTATCAATTATTTCAACGTTTCCATTATTTTTCCAGGTCTCAACCAAACATGAGGCAACTCTCAGGCTCCGGCTACTACCTAGAGAACATGAAGTCCATGAAGTCCATCGACAGAGACCCCACGTCCAACACGATAAATCGGATGGCGATATCCCAATCAGCCCCCCACACCCCCGTCTCGGCCCCAAGCCACAACGAAGCGTCCATCTTCAAGTCCGTACCCCGTTTACTGTCCGAGCCTATCGTGAACCGTTCCAAGAACTCTTCTCCAAACACCAAGACCAGCAAGCTGGAACGGATGACTTCCTTAGCCACGGACAAGAAGACCGACGGTTACAATTCAACCGACCAGAGCGACAGCTTCAAGATAAAAAATTCAGGAGGGGTGGTACCGGTGCATTCTCCTAAACATTTATGTAAAAGGGAGTCGAAGTTTTCTCTGAAGTCCCCACTGATCAAGCGCGAGACTAAGATCCAACTGGAGAATTCCTTAAATAGGGATAAACTGAACAAAGTGCATTCGTTGGATGGGACGCATGTGTAAATTTTGTTTGTGTACCTACCTATGTATTTATTAGCCTAATCTTCAAGCTGTCTTTGATTTAATACAGTCCAGTATTTGTCCAGTATGACAGTAAAATAAATCCTAGGCTTAGGGAAAATTAAATCTAAAATATATGCCGGGCATACAACTACTCCAAGTAATTTGCATCAGTTGATTAATTTACCTAATTACAACTATACAGGGTGTTCAGAAATGTTGAGAAAAAATTAAGGGGTGATTCCACACTTAAAAGTAACTGTACAAGATCCTGCGAAGCAATAACGTTTTTTCTTATGGATCATGGGTCTATCGTCCTTTGATTTTGAGATTCAAAGCGTCAAAGATGATTTTGTAAATGTAGGTAATTTTAGCCATTACCTTCTCCAAAAAGCAATGTACTGCCCTAAAATTTGGTACAAATATGGTGGTGGTTTTTGAAGGTGCTAAGTGCGTCACTGTGATTAGTTTTTAATCATCTGCTAGAGGTCGCTAGCTACTAACTCTCCCACTGACATTGTATGAGCTAACTTTTTTGAGGTTAAGTTTCGTACAGCGTATTCATTGCACACAACAGAGGTACTCTTGTTAAAATCACCGAAAACGCATCAGGTTTTTTTTTAGAAAACCATACTTAACCCCCATTATCAACAAACTTCTATTCCTTAATGTACAGGTTGTCCGGAATTAACTTCAAGGATAGTTTTCTTGGAAGAATAAACCGATTTGGAACAAGTTGCATTAGTCTTGCTTCCTTAAAAAGTTACAGGTCTTCAAAAAATTTGTTTTATTTTATTGTGGACAAAACCAAAAATAAGCACTTACGTTTCTAGTCAAACCTTAACCTGTATTAAGAGACACCTCTCTCTTCTTCAGAAGAAACCCTAAAACTAGAAATTAAGTCATCTGTCTGGTATTTATCAAGTGTACAAAAAAGTTCGTCACGTTTCCAATAGATGTCGATGTCTAAAAGACAGTTATGAGTTAGTTACCAATTATTGTACTGTTGCCTGTAACCTACGTACACAAGATATTTATTAGGAAAATAGATAGTGTTCTTAACTAAAATGAAAATGGAAGTAAATATTGTGCATATACGGCATTGTCTACTTTTCGAGTTTCACCAAGGAAACAGTGCAGCTGAAGCTCATACAACTATTTGGTTGACTTATGATGAATGTATTATTGATGAAAACACGCGTCGGAAAAGGTTTCGAAAATTTTAAAACGGAGATTTCGATTTGGATGATAAACCACGCTCTGGTAGTCCTCAAAAAGCCAGTGACATTGAATTGCAAGAGCTACTGGACCAAGACATTGCACAAATACAACATCAACTTGCACTGACTTTAGGCGTAACCTAATAACAAGCTATTTCTGAGAAAGACTACATGCGTTAGGGAGAAGTCAAAAAGAAGGAAGAAGGGTCCCACATGACTGAAGAGCAATGTGAAAGATGAGTTGACACGTATCTCTCATTGCTTTCAAGACAGAAAAAGAAGAATTTTTTGTAGAAATTCGTTACAGGAGATTGAAAAATGGATTTACTATGAAAATCCTAAACAGCCGACATCAACAACACCAAACCGCAATGTTTACGGTAAAAAGGTATTGCTCAATGGGATTACTGGACATGGGCGTCGACCAGTGATATTGCAGCATGACAATGCTCGGCCCCACATAGAAGCTCCGTTGTCTCGCAAATCATAAATAAACAGCTATGGGAAAGTTTACCACATCCGGCGTACTCACCAGACATTGCACCAAACGACTACCGCCGTTTTTCAATCGTTACAAAACAACTTAATGGAGCAGTAATTCCAGAACGAATATGAGTTTTGAAAAGTAGTCTTTGAAATCATTGCGTCAAAAGACCAAGCCTCTCGCCAAGGAATCTATGAGCTGCCTACGCGTCGGGAGAAAGTAGTAGAAGCTAATGGTCACTACATTTAATGAGATTTGTAAAAATCACGGGACGAACTCTTTTGTACACTCAATATACTTACTGTGTGCACTGATGTACGGCTTTCTTGAAGTATTGTAGATGGTATTAATATTGAGTTTCCTTAAGAATCGGCCTATTTTGTTAGTACATCTTTAAATATGGGGCAGGCATGCTGACGCCAAATATTCAATTTCTTTCCTTGTCCTTAAGTGTACTTCTGATGGCTCTTTCATTATTTCTGATCTGTAACTGATTCCTCTAAGAACTAATCGTAAGTGCTCGTTTACAAGTACAATAAGTATTCTTAGAAAGACAGTACCTATTAAAGATTTCTTTATGGAAAAAAATCAGCGCTCTCAAAACCTCCGTATCTTGTAGCCAGTAAATATCGTTGTACGTTACTGAAAATTCCAATTGATCTCTAATTCCGCTTTACCCCACTTTCCCCTAAATTTTAATGGTCGCCTCAAAAGGTATGCGTTTTTTCATCGGAAACGGTTAACGTTAACGACTTGGAATAACATAACATTTTTTGTAGCATACTTTAATAACCTTTAATGAAGCTTAAGGTTTTAACATTTTTATGATTTCTTTTTTTTTTTTCGTCAACAAAAGTACCAAATTTGAAAAAATCTCTTGACTGAATCAATAAAGTTGTCACAATATTAATTTAAAAAAACCTCTGGTGTTATGTAACTTCATTAATACTGTTTTCAAAACAGTGTTGTAGAAATGCATTACTTTTATTAGAATCACTCCCTAAATGATTTACTCATAGTTTGCGGACTCCCTGGGAAAAATTTTTATTTCTAAAAACGAAGAACCAGACTTTAACAAAGGACGTTCTATCCTTCAGTATTTTACCAGAAATCACCAAGACTTTTTTCTGTAACACATAATTTACGGAAATCTACTTTTTATCAAGTACCTACCTTGAGTCATGTGTTAAAGTTTTGGAAGGATCCATTTTAATCGTTGTCCTCTAGCTAAATCGACGATATTTTTTTGAATTCTGTCCTAAATAAATATAAACCAAGTAACACAATTTTTAATTAATAATCCTTTACGACTGATGAATAAATATACTTGATTAATATGAAGATTGATTTTAAGGTTGAATTCATTTTGCCTGTCAATTTTAATACAATCTTTTATACAATAACAACAAAATAATTAACTAAATGAAAGCAAACATGAAAATCAATTATATAAAGTAGGTTTTAACCAACAAGATGCAATTTGTTTTATATTTTTGTAAAGCTATTAGTTCTCTAACTAAATAATATGTGTACATGGATGTATTTCATTAAAGAAATCTAGTCATTCCATTAGAACATGTAAGGACGTTTAAAATCGTCTCTAATTTTTAACTGTGTATTTAAAATATAAGAAAAGTGTATACATTAAATAATATATAAGTTTATTGATTCCGTTTTTTAAATCTTGCCCATTGCTCCCTATACAGTCATTAATTTGTAAATTATTTTTGTTTTTAGGATAGTTAAAATGTATTTCATTTGTGTAAATTTTCCACGTGTATGTAAATTTTCATTAAACATGCATTCCAAAGTAAAATCATTTTTTAATTTTTAGTTATTCAACGATAAACAGGTTGATAGATAAAACATTGCAATAGTAGAAATTTACACTATTTTTTGGAAAAATTAATAACGTATTGACATCAATTTAAAATTTGAATTAAAATCTTTCAAAAAAAAAGTGCAAATTATTCATCGAAAAATATTAACTGTTTTCAATCCCAACAGAAATTAACACAATACATATTTACATAATAGTATATTTGCAACAAGAAATGTAGAATTAGAAGTTCTTATTCTTTTTATTTAATAAATATGTATGTAGTTTATTATTACTTCATTTTAAAGATATTAATAAATTCAGCTTAATTTAAAAAAAAATTGCCAAAAAATCATATCAAAACGGTACTTTCATGCGTGTTCTTGTCGAGGTTGAAAGTTTGATAAATCTATTTGAATTAGCCTAATACCTTTAAAATGAAATTAAAAAAGTTATTTTCCTGCTCATTAACGTAAAATTTAATTTAATTCAAACAAAATGAGCTGTTGCAATGCATGTTACTGTCTGGTTAACCACTTCCACAATAACCAAGCAAGAAGATCAAGAACACAACTTTATGGCCTTCCGAAAGTTCAAGCCAAACTTACCACTCAGACCAATAAATAATAAGTGCTACTGAATCAGCTCGTTATCCAAGTCGTTCGATACATGTCACACAAAATTAAAAATCTAATGTGAAAACACCATTTTAAAAACGCTGAAAATTTTATCAAAAAATTATTTTTTGGATTGTACACCAACTGTTCAATTAAAATGAAATTTTTTTTGCAATATTTGTTAGTTTACTATTTTAATTAAGAAAACCATAAATTTGACATCATCATTTTCTAGTAACTGTCATACCTGCAAAGCTGTGATAAATCCTTAGGTACTACTTATGTGTATCTATGGGTAGAAAAAATAATTTAACTTGAATTAAATTTTTCCATACTGACAACAATATTTAAAAAATTATTTTTTATTTCAATAAATCAAAGCTATAATATTTTACAAAATGTTAAACGAGTATTTTATATATTAAATTTAAAGTTTCCAAAAATATCTTAAACCAGTTTTGTATAAACACCAAAGTTAATTATTGCACATTCACATAGTGCGCAGTAAGGCTCATTTAAAGGACATAATCCTGTCTGCAGGAGAAAATATGAGTATTACCAATAAAGTAATAAATACATGAGACTAAAACTGTGAGCAATTTTACTATCTACTTAATTTTTCCCACTTTTTCTAAATGAAACCCGATAATAGATTTATGTATCCCCCTTCTGTTGTGTTAGGGAGTTTTTGGAGTTTCAATTTCATGTTAATGTACGTACAAATCGGCTCCAGATGATGCGGTTACTTGCCAAATATTTACCCAAAAAATGTAATATGAGAATGACAATGCCAACATGTGTGTAAATTTGCCAGAGTTCGCATATTTGGCGAACGTAAATAAATGCCGTATAGTGTGGATGATGCATATCAACACATTTGAAATCAGTACAAGACTATTCAACAATATTTAATAAAAAAGACAAAACTGAGTTACGAATTTCTATTAGGTACGTGAAAAATAAGACAATATGATCTACCTTTGTGAGACCCAGCCAAGTACAGCTTTCATAAATGATTACAGGGCACGTGACCGTCGAGCTTAAACAACCAACATTGCACATTGGTACTGTCAATTACAAATTCCTAAATCTTAGCGTCATCAATATTAGTGACTGATTTACAATGAGCAATAACCAACCGTTGCATCTACGCTCGAGATAATACGATCGCCGATAGGATGAATAAATTGTCGTGAAAAATTGCAACAATCACAAGCAGATGAAACAGAATTTTTTGTTCTAACGTAACCTTGATGTTATTGTTTCAATAACTTTTAATTTTACCAAAATTTAATTGCCAACGAAGAAAACAAAATCACTGTTTCAAACAAAATTACTGGTCATGTGGCTTATAACCATTTATGTAGGATCTGTTATGTGGGCTAGCAACTAAACATGTGGTATGACGTCTCATCATAGCTTCCAGTGAGCCCATTGATAAGTGCATACATTTAGGAATACTTGAATAATTAAATATTGTTTGGTATTTCACATATGTACCTTGTATGTACGATACAACTTGGCCAAACCATCTAGAAATATTTGACATATGTATTTGACGAATGTTTGTCCAATGACCACATCATGTGAAGCCGGCTTAAACACAGTGCTCAGCCTTTGACATTAAAACTATTAACAGAAATGTTGATTATTAACAAAATTACTTCTGTTGAATGTAAAAGACCCACATAATATCAAAGAACTCTCCGTAATAATAGCAAACCCCACCAGAAATAATTTTACTTCACTACACACGATCGTCTCAGTTTTGCAAGTGACTCAAAGGCACCCAATCCTGCCTAGGCGTGCTAGAAGCAGACTCAGGTCTGTCTTCGCTCGAGGCCGTCACCGTAGCACCGTTCTCGTACTCCGCCTTCTCCATGTTACTCACTTCGGTTTGATACACCACAGGGGTAGTCCTGTCCGTGCCGATCTGCGCGTATGGCGACACCTCGGGGTTCACCACCGAGAGATATTCCGGGTTCTGGTACGACACGTCCGTGTAGTAGCTGGGGTACGTCAGATTGGTGATGCTGGCTATGGGGGAGTGCTGGTACACCTGGTGGCTGGGGGATTGGTTGGGGGTAGGCTGCGCGGACAGCTGATGAGGGGGCGGCGGACTGGACGTCAGCGACCAGCAGTTGATGGAGGAGCTCATGATGGTAGTCGGCGTCTGGGCCTGCATCGTCGTCATGGTAGGCCAGCTGGTGTAGGTGGGACCGGAGGTGTTGTAGATGGATTGTTGCTGGATGTGATCTGGGGGGTTGTAAACTAAAAAATGTCAATTTTCCAATGATTATTACAGACAATATGTACCTGCATCAAATAAGAACGTACATTGGTACAGCGCATATGTACCATAGCACTGCACTAACTAGTCCAGAAAATGACCATTTTCCGGTATAATTTTGCCAAATAGCACCGATTTTCATAAAAATTTGGATTTAGGTTCTACTTCTATAAAGTTTTTTTCTGAAAGTTAATACTTTTCGACTTATTCGCGAGTGAAAGTGTAAATTTTTTAACCGAAATACCACTTTTTCAGACGGTTTTCGCGAATAACTCAAAAAGTAAGTATTTTATCAAAAAAATTCCTTTTTTTAAAAATTTTGGTTTTTAAAAAAAACCAAAAAAATAGTATGTTTATGGTGTCTGTAGACACCATAAACAATACAAGCGGAGTAATAGCTTGTTGAAGGTTGGTTCTTATTTGTCAAACGCCAAAATTGAAAGTTTGAATGTGAATTAACCAAAAACCAATGCGTTTTTCAGGGAATACTCATAGAACCTTTTTTAAAGTGCTTGAAAAAACCTTTATTCTTATTTTATTATTTTTTAGTCCCTAGCATCAAACCTAAGCGAGTTATGACGAAAATAAAGTTAGTCAGTATTTTTTTAGGCGACAAAAAACGTGAAAAACACCCCCTAATTACCACCCCAATTGAAAATAATCGTTACCACTTTAAAATTTACTTTATTTATGTACTTGTAATATGCTCTAGAACAGGGGTCGGCAAGTAATTTTAGATGGGGTCCGGATACTTTTAAAAAATTTTAACGAGGTCCAGAAAAAAAATTCATATTTCTTACAAATTTTCGTTTGAACTCAAATTTAATCTGCTTACTAACCATTAAGAACTCAAACACTCACACAATTGTAAAATACTAGAAAAAATGATAAGGTTGGCACTCAAACGTAAAAAAAAAACATTTTTTAAATAATTTATTTGAGTAATTTATACTTTCAAAACATTTTTGGCGGTCCAGTATTTTACCTTCCGCGGTCCGGACCTGGACCGCGGTCCGCCAGTTGCCGACCCTTGCTCTAGAAGTTTGACCGGTTTAAAGTGCTTAGTTTTGAAAAAAGTTGTCTTTTCTTCAAAATAATTCAAAAACTATTAATGACACGCGAAATTTTGTAGAGTACAAAATTATAGGTTTTGCTTTTTTGAAAATTTTGTTTTCTTTTTTTCTGTAGGATAAAAATTAAGTAAGATATGACCGTTTAAAGTTTGCATATGTTCGTAAATAGCAACTTGTATAAGCCCTTTCAGCTCAAATCCTTATTTGGTGTTATTTCCCTTGAAAAAACCTACAAAATGGTTTTTGAAGAGCTTGATAGCATAAAAACTAAGCAAGTTATGGGTAAAAAAACAATCACATATTTTTGCAGATATCGGAACACGTATATTGAAGCATTGACGAAGAGGAAGACGAGAGTGAAGGCGATTATTGATATTTATATGTTATTTGCAATAAAAAAAAATTGTTATAAAAATAAAAAAATTAAAATCCGTATAAAAATAAAAATCTTATTTTCCCTATTTTTGATTGCAAATTTTAATCAGTAGGGATTTTTTTAAGGTTTGATAAAATAAATACATTACACACAAATAATAAAAAAAGATGTATTATATTTTGAACTAAAAAAAATGTAACTATAATTGTTCGATTTTCTTTTGCAAGAGTGGTTTTTATAAGGGTTGAAACTTATAAACAAATAATAAAAAATTAAAACATTAAAGAAATCTTAATTTAATATCACTATATGATTAAATTATTCCAAGTTGCTGAATAATATTTTTCAACATTATTTTTTAATGATTACTGTCATAGGGGGTGGTTTTTAGGGATTGACAATTTTCAATTCATCATAATTACTTTTTTAAAGATGATTTCAACCTATTACACGCTCGAATCTACAATTCTATAATTATTTCCGAATAGGGGTAGTTTTCACCACTAAAAAATAAAAAGCAACCCCCGGCACAGGGTCAGCTTTGAAGTAGAGGGTAATTCGATCCTAAATCCAAATTTTGGTGCATATCGGTGCTGTTTGGGAAAATTATACAGTAACGCCGTATTTTACCTTCAATGACTGGGCTAAAGGTGACATGATATGGGACTCTGGAATCACGATATCATATCGAATAGAGAGTTTTGACAGGTTAGTGGCAGGTATTTATATTAAAAATGCAGCAATTTAATCGTTACAACATCGTATCGTCATTCCAAAATCCCAGTAATGGTTTTGCTGCAGTATGGAAAGTAACTGGGTGTTTGCTACCTTTTCAAATATTAAATCGAATAATGTGGCAAAAAAATTTATTTTTTATTTTTGCAAGAAATTATTATCATAGGTAATTTGAAACTTATCTCAAGCGCGGATTCAGGAAGTTGGCTTTATTTAAATAAAGTTGTTCGAGTTGTTCGAGAACTCAAGAAAGAATAATAATCACATTTTGCAAATATACCGTTTCTTTGTTTCAAACAGTCAAACTTTTGAAAAAAATTAAAGGCTCACGTTTTTTGGGCTTAATCACAATCATGATTAAAATGGAAAAAAAATGTTATGAGGTTTTCTCACATTTTTTACCGCAAATAACGTTTAAATTGATGAAAATAAAACGTGACCCTTTATTTTTTTTCAAAAGTTTGACTGTTTGAAACAAAGAAACGTTTCGCTAGATCGAGATAAAACTTCACAGGGTTCTTCTGTCAAAAATCACGTAAAAATTTCGGAAATTCTTTTGACTCTTTAATTTTTTGCATTAGTTTATTAACAACTGCTATGGTAGCATGCAAACCAACCAAAAGTATTTTAATTAAAAAATAGAAATAACAAATTAGAACTGAAATTAACACCAACAAGGAAACAAGTCCTATTCAACTTGTATACCTCCAAGTAATTTTTTTCTAATCTTTTTGTAAATTCTTTGTCCACAGACGAAATCATTTCTTCGTTTATGGTGGCAACAGCTCCTTGAATATCTTCCTTAAATAAATAGTGTTGTGCCCGTGCAGGCCAAGGTATTGCTCCGTAAAGTGCGGTCCACTTGTTCGGGAAGTGAACGTCTAGCCAGCTTCTCACTAGAAGTGTGTAATGTGCAGGGCATCCGTCTTGTCAAATATTAGTTTTCTTCTGAACTCTAAATTTTCGCTATTTCTTCCAAAAAGTAAGGACCAATTATTTTATGATTACATTATGCCACACCAAACATTTACTTTTTTAAATTTTTGACTGTTAGTTATCAATTGGAAATTTGGATCATCTTTAGCCCAGTTTCTACAATTTTAAGAGGACACTAAGCCATTAGTTATGAATGTTGATTCGTTAGTAAATAAAATATTGTGATGAAAGGATCTGTTTTCAATCAGTTTCTCGCACATTGTTAAACAAAAGATCAATCGACGACCATCATCTCCGTTAACAATTTATGATTAAACACCAGTTTGAATGGATAGATTTTGTTGTATACTAAAATTCTTTAAATATGAGATATGCTATTATCTATGTTTTCTGGCCTTTTCGTGAGTGACATCTTTGCATCGTCTTGTACAGAGTCCATAACTACAACAGTAGCTGTATCGTTATCATTGTATTCTTTTTAATCTTCTTAATATCCTTCACATCACCAGTGGTATCGAATTTTATAATTAGATTTCGAATTGCTCTACGAGTTACAGTTAGATTTGGATACTTCTCATTAAAAATTTGTATTGCATATCGATATGAAACATTACCGATTCCATAACATTTCACAAGATAAATTCGTTGCTCCAGGGTTAGCATTATTAATAAAAAATATTCGGTGGGCAGTTAATAAAAATAAATATGTTAAATTTGACAATGATAAGGAAATATTATGATATGTAAGATAGTTAAAAAATACGGCGTCTTTTTATTTGCAAAATGTGATTATTCTTCTTTTCTGACTAAACCCCGTATTTAAGCATTTCTTGAGTTCTCGAACAACTTGGCTAAATATAGTTTTTAATGAAAACAAAAATTAAAGGCACTTCTTTTCACATTTTGAAATTTTTTGGAAGCCCTGTTTGTTTTATTACATATTTGATTACAGCCCATAGCTTCCCAAGATAAGCAAAACTTTTTGTTAAGAATAACTTTTTCTCCAAAAATCAAAAATAAAAAAGTTTATAAGAGTGCGGTGCTCCATCCGGGGACACACTGTATATTAGGTATTTACAAATGATGTCCAATTTTTTATTATTAGAAGCTTCGTTTTAAAACGGCTTCGTTTTAAAAGAAAAGTTATGGCATTACAAAAATCGAACAGTAGCATGAATATGATAGTTGTGAAATTTAACTTATTGATTGTAGATATTGGAAACCCTGTTTATCTAATGTTTGTTTTACGTTTAATGAAATGTATCTTTACATAACTTAATAGTGTATTAGTGAACTTAAAAAAAATTAAATTACTTACTTACTTAGTAAAAACTATTCAAAATGTCAATAAAACATATTCTAGTACTTGGATATTAGTCCTGATTTATAATATGCATATTAACTTCAATTATCACTCCTCTATTAATTAAAACATAATTACCCGATCATGTATGATGTATTGATCCGAATCCTTTCGCTGTTGTCATGTTTGTACGATCGTCATCACAACAAATTGTATTATTTATGCGAAACGTTCGATGGAAAAAAAAATCGGTAAATAGTAAGACGGATTTAATGGAATACATCAACACGAAACGAATACATTATAACTTTTTCAAATAATTTCGTTAAGGTCACCTTCAGTCGGCCTTTTACTACATTAATTTTTGTTGATTTAACATATTTATGTAGCCGTTAGCCGCCTAATGGTTGAAATCCTATTTGTGTTTCAAATATTTTGCTATGAAATTAAAAATAATCTTACTGAAACCGCGTTTCTGTGATGTAATATTTGAATCTGTTCACATAAGTTCAAACAAAATTCTACATAAGTAATTTCAATTATAACTGATAATATAAACTCAGTGAAACAATATTTTTGTTCTAAGAAAAGTGTAGTTGTATGGATTTATATATTTAATCGTTTTAGAACAACTTACCGTGAGGTGGTGGAGATACTGACGCTGACTTTTGCCTTTGAATAGTATATGGTGCCGATTTCTGTCGTTTCAATGTTGGACTTGATCTGAACTGGCAGGGCGACATTTGTGCAGCCGACGCATACATTGGTTGATGAGGCAGGAACCATGAGCCATCTGTGTGCAGATGAGACATTAATCTATTGATTATTTATTTGATTATGCACAATAAACTTCTAGTTGCATTAAACTCTACATCACGTTAATTTGTATTAATTTTACTTCACTTTTGAAATAATAGCGGAAAATATTCGTTGCTTTATAGACTACAACGCCCATAGGAAATTTTCAAGGGGTCATGTGACCCAGCATGAATTACTTATAAATCAATACTACCAGATATAACAATAACTTTAGAAACTATGCCGTCAATTCTTGTTGGTACAAGTAAGTACACAGGTAAGCTAAACCTGTTCACCAAGGGGGGTGGTTTTCGGCAAAACATTTGTGACGGCATTTCTAAAGTATAAAGGTTATCCAAAAAAAATGAACCTCGACCTAATGCCGTACAAAAAGAGCAATACCGGAAGGCAGGAAAATTTTTGATTTTCCGAAAATTTTGGCCCGGGTTTTGGTGATTTATTACACTACGGCATTTATACTGCTAGTTTCGGATCGATACATAGATAAATTTTTAAGCGACGCCGCGCCGTACGTACTTGCTGATACAGGGGATAGGAATACAGGGTGCAACCCTCTATTTGTAAGTAGCGTATGGGGGGTGATTTGAACCAACATAAAATCACTAATTTTAATTCTATTTTATATGTAAAATAATGTCATTTTACAAATTATTTACTACTGTACGAACTTTCTATAATAAGACTTACAATATCATATAGCAATATTTTTCAGTAATGCCGTACATATTTTTCGATACAGGAGTGAGAAACCCCGGATGCGAACCCCTATATGCTGACCCTTATGGTTTCCGATGATTGAAAAATGGTCGGCATTTTTGCTAAAACATTATTTAAGATGTAAAATAATTTTTAAGTAATATGCCGTTAAAAAAACAGGATATAAAAATTATCAATTTTATAAATTTGAAAAGCTTATATATATTTTTTTTGCACAGGTACCTACATAAGTAAAATTTTTTCAAGATTCAATAAATTATTATAAAAAAAATCAAAAAGATCTGTATTCGAATATTTTTTTTAAAATTTGGAATTATTTGTATTTTAAAATTAAAATTACCGCTTCGAGATTCTAGCTGGCCATCGAAACATCTTCTTTCTTTGTCTCTTTTTTCTTTTCGGCGTGTAAATTTGTATGAGGTTTTATTCATGTTTATAACCGCGCCATTATTTCATGGCTAGAAATTGGCCTCAATGATTTGGGATCGAGGGGGATTATCCCTCTTTATCCTGCCTCATCTCGTGTAGGCCTGGACAGCCTTCGTAGGTGGGCCCCATCCGTCGTCTACCCCGACCGCAAATGCGGCCGGTGTAGGCGCTTTGTGGGACCTCCTTTTGTCCTGGCTGGGTGTTTATAACCGACAATCTTAAAAATGTTTTTGTAACAAATACACTTTTAAATTATTTTTACTAATTTTAAACATATATTGTATGCCAATGGCTTCATCTCAATTTTTGCATAAATAAATTGTTCAAACAATTGTAACAGAAGTTGCAAATATGCAAATGCGAGGGTACTGTTACTTCAAAACATATATTATATCACTGTTTTAAATGTAAGTATTTATATAGGAATTCTCATGAATATTGAGTTAAAATTAATTGTTTATTATTAGATATATTTATTTAAAAATAATACTTTCTTGCACGTCATTAAGTTTCTAAATTTCTCAAAATATTTTCTCAATTCTCTATACACAATTTTTTTAACTTAAAGACAATGCCATCATAATTTCTATGGTATAAATTAAATTTCCCTTGAAATTAGGTTAAAACTCATTTTATAGTTATATATGTTATATTTCTGATCAAAATTTGTAAATGCCGTATAGTTATTAATGACCTAAAAATGTAGTAAAAATTTAATGAAAAATATTATCAGCTATGTAAAATCCATTAGTCAAAAATGTACGGCAGTTTTTTTTAAATTTTTTTACTTATGAAAAGTGAATTCAGCCATAATATTTTGAATATAACATTTTTAGTTTATAACAAGGAATTTTCAAAATATTGTAAATTTTCACAATATATTTATTTGTTTTGTTTAGTACGATAGTTTTTGGTTATATGTTATCAAAAAAGTAGTTGCCCTACAGGAATTAATAATCTTATCGAAAAAAAAATAAAACTCAATTCCAAAATACAAGTAATTGTTTATAAACTTTTGCATTAACCATAATTTTCGGAGTTGCTAATAGTTGCTAAGAATTATTTGGAGAGTTAAATAATCATGTGGAATCGAAAAACCGGGCCATAATTTTCAGAAAATCAAAGATTTTCCTGGCTTCCGGTATTGCTCTTTTTGTACGGCATTAGGTCGAGATTCATTTTTTTTGTATAACCTATATACTTTAAAAATGCCGTACAAAAATATTTTGCCGAAAACCACCCCCCTCTGTGGACAGGTTTAGATTACCTGTATACTCACCTGTACCAACAAGAATTGATGGCATAGTTTCTATAGTTATTGTTATATGTATTGATTTATAAGTATTCGATGCTGGGTCAAATGACCCCTTGAAAAATTCCGATGGACTTGTAGTCTATTAGTGAATAAAATAAGTAATCAAATCAAGTAATGCCTGTATATTTTATTTTGCTAATGTCAATACAAATATTGTGTGCTAAAACATTTTATACATATAGACCTTCAAGTAGTTCTCCTTTCATCATACGAAAACTGAAAAAATTAATTTCTGTATATGATTTCACAATAATCATAAATTTTTAAGTGCACAAACCTGTCGGCAAATTAGTTACTACTGTTACGTATTTTTCTATTTAATGTACTAGATACACATTCTATTTGTAGCGAGCTCTGACATATTCGAAACATTAGCAATTTCAAGGCTTCGTTAACAGGAACGACAAACAGACTGTGTTAATGAAAAAGAAAAATTGTTAATTAGAAAAGCGTGGCTGATACTAATTACTTGATTACTATTACCGTACCAAGTGAATCTTTAATTGTAATTCGTCACACGTCTGAGAGAATCTCTTTGAACAAAACGTGAAAAGTTTTTTAGATGACAAATTATTTTAACACCTTAACTGTGTCATATTTACAGTTAATTTATGCATCGGTTCACTGTAAGATTCGCGCGGAATTGGAGAATTTTATTGTTTCGTACTGGACATCAGCTTCACACTTTAATAAAACCAATTCGTTGATTTATAGCGCACTATGCGAAAGATTTGGACATGTGTACGTGGGATCATTATTGGAAATTGTAACAGATGTATCGCTTCGCCAAAGCAACTGCAAAATGTTACAAATTCTAAGTATAGAAAAGTGATACGCCTGGTAAATCATAAAGAGATAATACTTGGTGGATTTTTGTATGTAATGATCTAAAATTGATCAACTTTTTTCAAAAACGATTTTGAACAATTTTATGTTGGTTATATTGAGATACCTTCAGGATCCAACAAGTTTAACTTTCCTTGTAACTTGAAGTTTATAAATGAATAAAAAATGTACAATACATAAGTTATTACAAAGTATGATTGATATAAATTATGATCTAGGAGTATATGTAACAATATGGCAGCTTTTACTCTAAGCAGTTGCAGTTGACACATATTTCTAGCATCTTATGCAATACATTAAGAATGTGCAGCATTGTTTTGTTAACCATATCCTGCTAACTTAAATATTACTAATTAACACTGTTAATACTGCGGTTGCCGTTTATGTAAATTTCATTCAACTGTCGCAAATATTTTCCATCAAATCTTGACAAATACCTATCTACAAATTAAAAATGTACAATGTGTAACCTAGATAAGTAAAATTGTTCTAAGAGGTGAAAGCTGAGATCATTTTAAAGAAAATTTCATATAAACTTAAACGGCTTAGCTTTTGAGATGTGGGGGGGGGTTAAGTTTTGAAGATATTCGATGTAGATTGCTGGTAATGATTTAACTATAAAAATTCACCAAAGTTGTGTATACGTAATTGTACCAACCACTGTCGAAGACATTGGACCACATAATTTCAACATCACTTGGAGATTCGATCGATGAGTTTAATTTCTCTTTGTGTTTCAAAGAAAAAAGATATTTTACATTTTATTCGGAAAATGAGTTACTTTCATTTTGATTATTATTTTTTTATTATCTAAAATAGACTTATACCGATCAGTAAAGTAAGTCTAAAGCTCATTTCTTAAGATAAATCCGTAGAAGTCATGCATCAAAATTGTAATATAATTCGTTGTAGCAAAACATTGAGCATAAAAATTAACTTACAATTTTGAAGAAACACAAGATTCAAATTGTTTACATTTGAAAAAATGTAGGGAAAATATTAATAATATATTATTCAGCTGCAATAAAGGTTGGCAATTGATTTTACAGTACATAGTTTGGTTTTTCAACATGTCTAATAATTCTAATAATCCCTTGTTTCATGTAATATTAAAATCACTTTATCCATTCTAAGTAAAATCACCTTCTTATGTTAGTTAATTTTTTAACACTCAAAAGCTATTTTAGGTAAAGCACTATAATTCTTATTAAAAACATGGTTTCATGTACATGAATGACCCTTTGATTTAATATTAATATTACGAACATTACTGCGAAAATCTTTCAATTTATTAACACTAAACACAATTATCTATATCTAGATCAAGATTTAGATGAGATCCCATAATTTCGTTCCAGTATTTATCATCATTCTTACTATTAGCTATAATATTAAGTTAGTTTTGTAGTATATATGATGTGTGTTCAGAAAATAACCGAAGTTTATTTTTTAAACGATATTATTAATTTAATACATGAATATTGGTCTTCCTTCAAAGTACTCCCCCCCCTAATTCACATATTTTTCCCAGTCGCAAGGAACCAGTTCTAGTGCGTAAAGTAATCTGATTTTTGGCATAAAACTGACGAATTGATAAAGCCAAGTTTGAGGGCGCATTATCATGATGAATTGTCTCGCCACAACTCTATTTTTTTTTGCTGATTTTTTACATAACCGTTGTAAAACACACGGTTTATTGTTTCACCTTGTCGCAAAATAGACAATTCCACTAAAGTCGAAAAAAACAGAGAGCATCACTTTGACATTGGATCGAGACCGACATGCTTTCGTCCCCTATTATGATCCTTTAAATGAATGTTTCATCATCAATGGATTATTCAAGGAGTTGCCAACAAACGGCAAACGATTTTCTTCCTGTTGTTCGGTCATAAAACGAGGAGCAAATTTAGCTGCAATTGGATGCATGTTCAATTTTTCAGTCAAAATTTCATGGCACGGCCCAATTTAGATGATAACCTCTTCTTCAATTTCTGAAGCCCCGTGTAGACTTGGATACAATCGGTGGAAACATTGTCGGCCGATCAATAAACACAAATGTATCTCGTCCACATTTAAAGTTGCAACTTTGGTGAAAATTGCATCAAATGATGATTTAATAGTAGCAGCGAGTGTTTGTGCGACATACTTAATTATAAAAAATAAAAAAAAACAAAAAAAATACGTTGATGGCAAAAATATCTTCTACGAGATGGAGTGAACTATGGCAACGGATTAATGAACGGCCTAATATTAGAAGATATAACTGCTTTCCGTAATTTTATGAGGATATCAAGCACAGATTTTGAAAATCTGTTGCTTATGGTTGCACCTAAAATATCAAAAATTGATACAAAATTTCATGACGCTATTCCACCATCAGTAACATTAGCAATGTACCTGCTCCATTCCTATTATCGTCCATTTTTTTTTGTGCTCTCTTCGTAATTAGGTCTTCCAGGATTTAATTTTTTTGTTATTTCATCTGGAGTTGTAGAAAATTCTTTATCTAAACGTGTTGTTTCGTCCATTTTCTTGTTACGATCCCTCTATTCTTTACAAGAGACACTCCATAGAGTAGGCACTTGTCTTAAATTTTCTATTAATTTCAACGTGTTTTCAATTAGCCACATTTTGCAACGTTTTTTGTTGATTTTAACATAGACATAGATTCACAACCCAACCTCAAATTTCAACAAAATATCGCGTTTGACAGTTGAAACGATGTATGTATCTAATTCTAAAGCCAGTACAGACCTACCGAGGTTTTCCGTTTAAAACGGAAAACAAGCAACTCGGCAATTCATTTAATAAAATGCCGCCCGATATTGTTGTTGAGTTGCTGCAAAATCGGCCGACTCAAGAGCCACAAGGAAAATATTGTCGGCCGACAATGTTTTCACCGATTGTATCTAAGTATGTACGGGGCTTAGAGTCATTCGGTGATTTGCACTTTGACTTTCTGGGGGCGTCATCAGTTGAAGTTGAAGGCCTTCCTAGTCAAGGATCATCTTCAATTGACTGACCACTTTTAAATCGTGAAAACCGTGTTTCAAAAGTTGAAACGTCTCCTGAAAGATATTTCAGAAAATCGCACATTTCAGAAGTCGTCAGTAATACTTAAATACGTGGCACTCAAATAACAATATCACGAAAACTAAATTGAGATATCAACAATCCAAGAACATGTGGTTACAAGGGAGGTTATGCGCAACGCAATGCTGCCAACCGCATATTATTAAATATCTCCATTAACGCGTAATTCAAAAAGTTCAGTTTCTGAACAGACCTTGCAATTTATCAGTTATAGTTAATATTGATTTGAAATTGATAAGAAATAACGGGCAAATATAGTGTCGTCATAGTAGCTTTCTCCGTGTATCAAAAAGTTAATTTACCCTAAAAAGCTCCAAGAAACTTTTGAGACTTTTGAGTCCATGGCATGTCTGTGGCATTGGTTGAAAGTGTATCACTTGATCGTAACGATTTATCTGAAGCAAAATATAGTATTATTCTTGACACACCATTATTCTTTTTTTATTGCGATAATTAGCGATACTGCCTACACTTTTTCCTAAATATAAGTGACTATTTTGAATACAATTTCCTGCCTACGATTGATTAATTAATGAGTTTCTTTATTTATTTATACATAAAAACAAACTTTTTGATTTTGTCAGAAATTTCTATAAAAGTAATAGCTTAAAAGGCAACTACTTACATTGTGAATACGGAGCCTGTTGCTGGGAGTAGGTAGGCGGGAAATCCCTCTGGTTATACAAATTATCCGGCCTCTCCTTGGCGTCCAAAAAGGCCTTGGCGAACGGGTTGTACTTGATCTTCAACGACGTTACCTCCTCGTTCTGATACGCCGTCACCGCGATGAATTGCGTTTCCGGGAAGGGAAACGTCATCACGCGCCTTGGCTCGGTTCCCACCCTCACCAAGTGCACCCTGGGCTCGTACTTGTGGAGGGAATTCAACATTATTTGACCGTTCCCGTTGGATTTGTTCGTCAGTTTGACCTTGGCAAAGGATATGGACTCCTTCATCCAGTGGGCGCCGAAATTTGGGGATTCGGGGTGGATGTAAATGGGGTTGGAGGGCGGAACTTCGGCTTTTCCACCTGGTACCCACTCCCCGTTCACGTATTTCCACCTGTGGGGATCGATCTGGACGAACTCCAGGAGGACCGTGTACATCGCTTTGGGGTCCAGCCCTGCAGCGGTTACCTTCACCACGGGGAACATTCTCCTGAAATAGAGGTGAATAGTAGGTTTCTGGTGTCAACCAATGTAGGATTGCGAGATCATGCAAGAAAATTAAGACATTTTTTGCAACACAAGCACTTATACCTACTTCTGGATAACATAAAAACAGGTAAAAACTCAAACAGCGTTAAACTAATTGAAAATCCAATTAGGAAGCTATAAAATATAACATTTATGTACGGCTCATATCAATTATAGTCACTATAATTAAACTCAAGAACTCTTCAAAAGCATAACAGTGGTAGATGAAATTTGTAGTGATTGAGAATCTATACAAGTACGATTTTAAGAATTCTGTTGGTGTTCAAATTGGATACATTTTCCTAGTTTTATCGTTCAATTAATTGTAATCAAAAGCAACAAATCGCTGCCAGAAATTATCACATACGGTCGATGAATTGAAAACCATCGCAGTGATTTTATCGCAAAATACAAGTTTGGTGTAAGAACTACTTTTTTACTACTATTTAATTTTCTATCAACCTGTAGAAATATTTTTTTTATTATACTTCTTTGAAAACATCTTATTTTCAGCTGTATTAATAATAATGTAAGAAGGGCTTTTCCGGACTGGTGCACGGAAAAACTTTTTTCGGCAACCGTCCGGGAAGTGGCTACTTCCCGGACGCTTTTTCTTTGAGAAAGTAGCATTTTTTCGGCCTAGTCCGGGAAGTACGCACTTCCCGGACTAGGCCGGGAAGAATCACATCGTTGTTGTCATTGTGAATATGAAAATCTTGGAAGGTATGATTTTGATAAATGCAGTTGAACATTACCATAGCAACGAAATAACGACTGACAGCTATCTGAAGTGAAATTAGTTGACATTTTAATTTTCGAAAGTTTGCATGGTTTTTGGTCGCAATTGTCGCAATAAACTATGGAAAGCAACAGCGATAGTGAGTTTGAAAATGTGCCTTACGAAATTTCCAATGCAGCAGCTGCTGCTACAGCACAATTATTGCCTGAAAAATCAAAGTCCAGGTACGAAAACGTTTATGATTTGTTCACGAGATGGATGGATATGAAGAAATGCAAAACTATTACAGAGGATGTAATTTTAGCTTACTTGGCGCAAAAATCTGAAACTGTCAAATCCTCTACCCTGTGGAGCATGTACTCTATGTTGAAAAGTACCATTTTAGTGAAGAAAAATGTAAACATAGCCACTTTCCCAAAGGTAATCGCATTTCTTAAAAGGAAGAATGTTGGTTATAAAGCAAAGAAATCAGAAGTCTTCAGCAGCGAGCAAATCAACAAATTCATTAGAGAAGCAGATAATGAAACATATCTAATGCTAAAGGTAATTTTAACAAAATATTACGATTGTAGGATATAAAAGTATCAACTTAATTTGCTTCATTTTCAGGTAGCAACAATTATTGGGTTAGCCGGTGCGTGTAGACGGGAAGAACTAACAAAAATGTCAATTGATCTAATAAACGACAAAGAAGATATGTTGCTCGTGAAAATACCAGATTCTAAAACACATATTGAGAGAAATTTTGTTGTAATTGGGCAAGAAAACCTGCTGTTGTATAGGCAATATTTATCTTTACGGCCATCCCATACTCCACATAACAGATTATTCGTGAATTACAAAAAAGGAAAATGTTCGATTCAGCCCGTTGGTATCCACAGTTTTGGGAATCTCGGATTAAGAATTGCAGAATTTTTAAATTTACCCAATCCTAAAAATTACACAGGCCATAGCATGCGTCGAACTTCAGCGACGATATTTGCTGATAATGGTGGAAACATCACAAATTTGAAGAGACACGGTGGCTGGAAGTCTACCAATGTCGCTGAAGGATATATAGACAATTCACTAACAAACAAAATTAAAATTGCCAAGACCATTCAAAAATTATCAGATGAAAACAATCAATATGAAACGGAAACTTTACCTTCTTGTTCTGACTACAAAAGGCATTTAAATATACCAAGCATTTCAAACAAATTAAACCCTTTCAATATTAGCAATTGCTCAAATTTTACTATAAATCTTAATATAAATAAGAATTAGAATGTTTCTGTTAGTACCTATCTTCTGTTCGAATTTCAATATTTAATACAAATAAGAATTAAAATGTTCGAAATTTTGTTCTACAAAAAAATATAATAAAGAAATGTGTCTCATTAATTTGTTATTCTACATGGTTGCCGAAAAAATAGTGTACGCAACACGTCCGAAAACAGTTTTTTTGAACTCGCAGACTTCCAGGACTCGCCTACGGCTCGTCCTAGAATTTTGTCAACTCGTCCAAAAAAACAGTATTTTCCGGACTTGTTACGTAAATAACTATTCCTGATCTCCGATTCTTTCCGTGCGCTGAATAAAAATACCGAATATATGGTTTTAAAATAGAAATATACAGCAAAGTAAACTAAATTTAAGAAAGACTATGTGGTATTTGATATGTAACATGTACTTGTACCTATTTTAATTCGTAAATGTTTGAATATTTAGATAGGTAGTTACATTTCTGTAAGATTTTTTGACATTTTTTTTTTTCACCTAATCTGACACAGACTAATTTAAAACAAATCACCTCTGAAATAATTTGGGATTAACCATTGAAACGCATCGTACATGCCAATTTTTTTATGTGAAGCTCCAGATGAACAATATCTCCTACCAAAAGTAATTTTAATGTTTGGGATATTTGAGGCTTGTCGAAGAGATGATTTATTACGTTTAAATTTAGACGATGTGGTAGATCATGAGCGCTTTCTTGTCGTGTTTTTACGAGATGGAGAAACTCATACATCAAGAAGTTTCACCATTACCAATAAAGATGTACATTTGAGCCCTGCACACTTTATCGTAAATATGCAGCTGTACAACCTAAATATATGAACAGCAGAAGATTATTACACTTAACACGTTGGATGCCATACCATCAGTGGTGTTCCGAAAATTGTTGCAGAATACCTAAACCAGAAGATTCCAGAAAATATACCGGGCATGGACTAAGGCGTTCTTCGCCAACCATGTTGGTAGAAAGCGGCGCTGATTTAGTCACTCTGAAAAGGCACGGAGGATGGCGTGCTTCCAATGTAGCAGAAGAATATATAGAAGAATCCATACAAAGAAAATTGACGTATCACGAAAACTTCAATATTCTTTCTCTACATGTTTTTTTATTCCTGTAACTGTTATGAAAATAAAAATGTTCCAAGTTTCTTTCATATGTCTTTTTTTGTTATATTTTGTTTTTATGTTTTCGTTTACAAAGAAGTATAATAGAAAATATCGTTCATTATACGTCTAGAAATAGATTTTTCCGTGCATTCATGACTTCTCATGAGAATTTGTCACACGAGCACGGAAAAATCCTTATTTCCAGACTTCTAATGAACTATACTATCTTAGTTATAGATGGAGGTCCTTCAATAACATCTTTCTTAAGGCTCAAGAACGGTAATTCTTACGATTTCTTAAATGTAGAAAGTAGAAAGTGAATATTCTTGTTTGTCCTACTTTACTGAGGCTATCCTAGCCTGGAATTGAAAAAATATGTCGGTTTTTAATAGGCAACTAAAAATCAAAACACAATCTTGTTTTCTAGTCCAAAATAGTTGCAAGATTTATCCTTTATGGTTAATATGACAAAAAACGTATGCGATTTAAATTTAAAACTGCAAGGAAAATAACAAGTCTTTACAAATATCTGTAAAAGTTACAGCATTTTAAATGCAAGCTGATTCTTTGAGAAACAATTGAAAATTAATATTTGCAGTTTCCAACATACAACATGAATAAATCATGTATAGGTGAAACTCCATCGTATAAAAAATACGCAGAGAAAATCTTGAGAAAATTGAGTTTTAACCAAGATTTGATGAATTTTTTAATTTAAATGTTTTTTGTTTTCTTTAATTTTCTCAATAAGAATGGAATTAGTACCTAACCACATGCGAATGGAAATAATTAAGATCCAGTGTGACTCGAATTTAAGACAAAATTCAGCGACATTGGCGTGCTTTAGTTTTACCAATATTTGACAATCTAATTTGAAAATGTCTGGAATTACTTACGATGTAAGCAATTGTGAAAATAAATATCTCTCAGATTCGAGTTACTGACTTTCAACTTGGGTCAGTTTTAGAAATAATCACCAAGATTTCGCCAAGAAGAATAGAATAGCCTGAGAATACCGACGAAGGTATCCAAATAGACATCAACCTGGCCACACAGTCATTAGTGCATCATTTCGTAGACTTACTTACTTACTTACTTACAAACTGAAGTGAATGTACAAAATGAAGAAGATATAATAGATGCTTCATTGACAACTCTGCAATTAGTTTTCGGCGTATAGTATGTAATCTTCATTTATCACTGAATTTTGTATGGCGTGTATTAAACAGAGAAATGTTACATCCGTTTCATTGCCAAAATGTACAAGCATTACTTCAACAGCATGCACAAAATGAAAGATTCATTTCGCGTCGTGTGGTCAGATGAAGTGTGTTTGCTAGGGACGGCATACAAAATAATCATAATGAACATATCTGGGCATTACAAAATCCGCATACAATTAGATTAAGACGATTTCAGCAAACGTTTCAGTGTCAACGTTTGGAGTAGCATTTTCAACAATAATTTACTGCCTGTACATGTTTTATCATTTAAATGTAGATCTGTATAAATCTTTCTTGAAAAACAACTTTTTGATTTCATTGATAACGTAGGGCTTAAATTGTTCAAAATATGTGGAATCATCACGATGGTACACCACCGTATAGAGGGAAACAAGTAACCTGCTTGGTTAAATGATCTAAACAAAAACGAATCGGATGATAAGAAAATACGCTTGAAATTAACCCAGCTACCATCTGTCAAAGTTTGTCATAGAGCTTGTAAAACAACCTGCATAGGAAATATGATAGCACAGAGATTAATTATTATTATCTTGTTCTTTTTTTATATTATTCTTTCCGGGATAAACTTGCGTTTCTATAAAAACTGAAATTTTTAATTTTATAACCCCCATAAACTTAATCTTAGTAGTATTGTATTAGTCTCTGATTTTGACATGCTTGATCTAGAATCCATTAGACCAACGTTTCTTAACTCCATATTCTTTACTGGAAATAAAATGCAAGAAATATAGAAAGAACTACACGGAAGATCGCAGAATTAAAGGCAATGGACGTTGTTCCTAACATTTTGATCTTGAGTTATAATTGAAACCACAGATTTTTAATAGCTGTTTTACAATGACAATTTATTCATCAATAAATTGACGAAGTTCTTCATCAATGAATTCACGAATTTATTGGTAAACAGTGTGGTTTTACACTGCTACAGACTTTGTCAAGTTTTTTGACGTATGAATCAGTTCTACCAATGAGTCAAAGAAGCAAATAAATTTCAAATATGTGACCTTTCTACTCATAATTGTAGTGATACAACAGCGGTACCGTTCTGACACATATTATATAAAGATTAGTTTTTGTAAATAACAAATCAGTAAAAACAATGCAAAACTAGCACGACGCCACACAATTATTTACATATTCCAATAACATAACCCCATTTATGATCTCAGGCTGGAAATCTGTTGGGTTGGTACTTCCGAACTTTACGAAGAAATTGACGAAAATTAGAACATGCTCTATTTCGTCAAGAACTTGATGAATAAATTGATGAAGTTATTTGACAGCTGATTTGGTGCATTACACTTGTCCAATTTCTTGATGAAGCTACTTCATCAATTAATTGATCAATACATTGTCAATGTAAAACAACTTTAAGCACGATAATTACCTATGTATGTGAACAATATCGTAATGGTAATTAATATGCTACATTGAAATTAACTATCTTATTAAAATTATTAATTTATAGACATCATAACTACCTACCTCAACTATTAAATATACTCTAACTTCTGTTTTATTAATTAAAAATATATTGTCAAGCATAAATCAGATATTTTCATGCAAGCAAAATACCAGATAGTGAAACAATTTTATCAATTAGCGGATCATAAGCTAATAATCATTCACTCTTTCGTACTCAGTGTTGGTTTATCATTAGCAGGTAAATATTAATATGTATAAAGTCCATTGGCATGTTAATCAACGCATAGGTTTATTTAATTTTGAAATTATGCCGTTTTAATTTATTTTTTCGATTATCATATTCTAAAAATTGAAACCTGGTCTAAAAATAAAATGGTTAAGTGAATATTTTGATTAAGAAAAATTACGGGTTTGAACTAGTTTTGATAACATTTTTGTCAAACAAAAACAGAAGTGATATTTTTACTTCACAATGTTACAGTCAACTAAAACATATTTATTATAATAAATTTGTTATAAAAAAGCCCCATTCATTTTATTTTATAGGAGATTTTAGATTATACCTAATTTATAAAATTGTTAACTATATTATTACTTTGTAAAATAACTCCTATTTAGAAGTAAGTCAACCGTTACTGCTATGCCTTCACGCTATGGTCGTATTGTTGGAGCTATAGAAGCTGGAGAATGCCCTGTTGGGATCTTTTGTGATCTCACTAGGGCATTTGACTGCGTAAATCACGACATCTTGGTTGACAAGATGGAAAAAAATGGGATTCGTGGCATTCCCCAGAAATGGGTGGCAACTTTTATTCGAGATCGAGATGTTGCTATAGGTAATTAATTAAAAAAGTCAATACAGGGGTACCCCAGGGTTCGGTGCTGGGTCCTCTCCTGTTTCTTTTATACATTAATGACTTAGACGAGCTTTCAGGATCGGGGTCTTTCACTTTTTATGCCGATGATACATCGATGATAAATCGGATAAAAAATTATCTGAGACTTGCGGTAAATATCAATAAAACTCAGGTTATAAGATTTCACAATAGCATTGTAATATTATTGATGTTAATGTTAACAACACACTAATTAATAACACAAATCTTGTAAAATTTCTAGGATTAAAACTGGATGAGTGTCTAATTTGGAATAATCAATGTAACGAATTGGTAATGAAATTAAATTCAGTATCACATCAATTTCGAAATATCAGAAAAGCCTGACCATTGATCAATTTTATTGATGCTATATTACTGCCAGGTAGAATCGCGTTTGCGATATGGTATCTGTTTTTGGGAGATTGGGGGCCATCTTGCCACGCTGATAATGTATTTGTTGCTCAAAAACGTGTAATTAGGTGTATGTTCGGAATGTCAGTTAGGGAATCCTATAAATGGATATTCGTCTGTTACAGTATTTTAACAATGCCTTCTGTTTTGTTGTATGAAATGTGTCTATATATTTTTGTCAACAAAAATCAGTTTGTCCACAGAAATCAGATTCATTCAATTGATACACGGCAGCCTTGCATTTTTGTATACCTTTTGGTAGATTTATAGCTTCAAAAAGGCTCTGAAAAAATACTCGGTTGATAAATGTTTCTATTCTGGAAGAATATTCTGTTAATCAACTTTCTGTTAATTAATTTTAAGTTGTAAATTAGTCTTGTCTTTATGTACATTTTTTTTTGACTAATCCTATTCAATTGTTATGTTGACTAGATAAATGATTACAAGTCACCTGACGAATAATTTTGTTTTGAGTAATTTTATTTCCTTCATGTTGAGAATTAGTTATTAAAACAATTAGATCAAGATGATATTAAAACACAACATTCTATTTCACCGGCTGTGATTGGTTCATTTTTCACGAGATACTGTTCAACCAATCAACGATCACTTTATCTATGATTGTTCATTGTAAACGAATCATTAATATTAGTGGAGCTAATATTTAGGGAATTCTCGTTGCCAGTAATACCAATCATGCAATATTGGGTGACTAATCTCTGAGTTTTTGTAATATACTTATTCTATTTTAATTTATTTTGTACTTGTTCCAATGTCCTAAGCAAGCGAGTAATACAAATTAAAATAAATATCTTAAGTGTACACTTACCTTCCGCTTTTGGTAACAATCATTTCATTTGTGAAACACTGGAACCTCACCCAAAGGTCTCTTTCATCCAAAGTTACTGAAAGATCTCTTTCAGTTGGATCACCTTTGTCCTTTCCTGATGTTATTTCTGATTCTACTGCCGATAAAATGTGCTGTTGGGCCATTTGTTCTAAAATAAAAAAAAAGAGAATCAGCGTGAACTTTTGCTTACTTTCTTAATATTAACAATTACTAATTTTTGAAATTTCAGATATATTGTATTTCAGATTAGTCAATATATTTTTTCAATATCTCCTTTACTTTAAGTTAGATGACTTACTTCTGAATGTCGAAATTGTCAGAGATTGTTTAACAAATAATGACGAAGTCATTGATTTCAAATCAGGACTTTTAGGAGATACAAAAATGTTACTGTATTATTCTGATCCTTTATTGGGCTATGAATCTTTGTAGTTATTTTGCCCTCTGAAATCCTGCTTGATATTACGTTACAGGTGGTCATGATATTTACTGCATATTCGGATTTAAAAAAATAATCTTAATAGGCGTAATATATTAAATTGGAAAGAGATGAAAGTTGAGATACCCGTTTACGTCTTTCTCTGTCTTTTGTCATCCATTTTTACTAATTAATCTACTTAAGATTCACGAGACATATTAGACCAAACTGCTTGTTATGGCAAATTACACTTTCATAAAAGCATATTTGCTTTCGGTGACTTTGAACACCTGGTGGATAATCCCAATTCGATGAAACGCGTTGAGCTTCAGCAAGTGTCAAGTCAAATGCTTCTTATTGATTTAATTCCGTAATAAAATGTATCCATTTCCCACGGGAATCGGATACATATGGCGTTCTGAATAAGCGCAAATACGAACACGGACCTTTCAAACACTTTTAGTCTCTGTATGTAATTATTAATACCCGCAAATCGTAAAACAATTTCAAGGAAACGTATAATGGAAGTTCGATCCTACGCTATAAAACTTAATTTATTCCGATCAACAAATCATTAATTTGTAATAAAGGTGGGCATATAGAAGCCATCAAGGTAAATATTTGCTAAAATATAAAATTTTACTTGCAGTGAGAGGATACGTGTTGATTTTCAACGTTAAAATTAATGTTTTCTGTGTTTTCCATGTTGGCATATTGGAAATTATTAAAACCGGCGGTTTCTGTGAAAAGACCGGCGGAGCGACTTCTTTAACGTGTCTTGTATATCAGTGCTTGTGTTTTACTTGTAGGTTAAATTATAGCAGAGGCTCCGCTTAATTGCTGCTGATTAGTACATTATGAAAAAGCAATATTTGACAGTATTGCGTTTGTATTTGCCATTATCTATAGACTGTATAAGCTCTTATATTATAAGTGCAATATTGACCATTTGAACAAGTATAAAAAATGAAAACTTGCTTGCTGCCTGAAATATTTGTTGTTAATTTCAGTTCGTATCCGTCAACATGTTTGTATTAGGTTTTAACGTTAAAAAATATTTTAAAAAATTAGCAGACCGTTGACGTTTCTTTTGATATAATCAAGAATATTGGTAAAAAAGGTCTGATGAAGTTTTAACAATAAAACGAAACTTCGACCCAATTTTAATGAATTGTTTAACAATATACCGACCGACTGTATAAAACTGTCTTAATTATTTTTCCTTAGGTATATTTAAAGCTCCATAATAGGCTGAGAAAAACTTGTAAATGATGTTACTTGTGTTTACTGTTGTGAAAATGTTTAATATTTTGAAAAACCTCTGGTGAGACAGATCATTTTTATTGTGGCTGATAAGAATAAAACTGGTTTTCAAAATCAATATACAAACATAAAAAGTTTACATTTAATGAAAAGTAGTTCAGTTTTGTTAAATATTTAGTTAAATACTGTTTAACCCAAATAGAAGGTTAAAAGTACTAAAAATTATATTTTTTACGTAAATATTTTGTAAGCGAGGAATAACAAGTATCTGTAGTCGTATCTGAAAATAATAGGCAGTGATTTCATCTTTAATCCAGCTCATTTTTAGCAGTCAACACAAAGAGCCTGTTGCGACTCGCCTCCATTCAATTTGTATTAGTATTAGTTATTTTAATGAATTTTATTTTTAGACTGTTGTAATTGTTATCTAAACTATTAGCTTAAGTGCAAGCCACTGTATCCAGGAAACAAAAAATAATAAATGTTATGTCAACTGTCAGCATTCATAAAAAATAATTTGTCCTGACCCAAGAAGATCTTCTGGCCCCCAGGAAGACTACGAGTCAACAAAGCCGTTTGTAAATGCTTCGTATAAAATTGTGTGTGCCACATTCTACCAGAGCAGTCGATATTGCAGTTTTAGGAGATTCTTCTGCTGCAGCAAATGCAGCCTTTGGTTGGAGTTTGGTGCGCGACGTCAATTGGGTTTCCTTTAGCGTACACCAGATATTCTTCTGCTGCAGCAAATTCTAGACTTTCGTTGGTGTTTGGTGTGTGACGTCAATTGGGTTGCGTTTATTCGGTTCCGGGCAATTCTGTCGGCACAGGCAATTAGGCGTACGCGCGGGAGAAGTCCAAGGATATCTTTCCGTTAATTTAATTGTGATTGTAATTTATTTATTAGAGATTTTAGGTTTGTATTCTTAAAATGGCGAGTAATTCAACCTCTACAGCGTGTTCTCGTAAAGGTAAGCGTCCTCATCTAACAAGGCAGGAATATCAGATGATAAAAAGCGTGTATGAAGGGCGAAACGGCGAAACCAAAATATGAGTGTAAGTGATGCAGTTGAAATGTGCAGTTCACTAAAACAATAGTGTCGGTGAGAAGTGTATATCGTGCAATAAGGAGTGGCAAAGGAGACTCGATTGCGAAACGGAAAACGGTAGAAATTCGCGGAAGGAGAAAGATAGATGTTGATGACGACACGCGATTCGCATTCGTGGCTATGGAATAAAATGAAACCCTGCCAGTTCTTAATGTCCTCGATAATAGAAAACCAGACGGTACCCTGGGGTGCAGCGTTTAAAGAAAGCCAACTCGCACGAATACTTAGACAATGAACTACATAACCTGTGATCTGCTCTTAGAAGAAGTGGATATACGAACATAAATATTTGAAAGGCCATCAGAAGGACACCTAAGTACAAGGAAAAAGGAGAATATCTGTCAAAAACCTCTCTATATACAAGGATTTACTGACAAATAGACCGCATTTTAAAAAAACGCAATATTAATATCGTCTACAGTCCGTATGATATTTGTTGAGATAGAATTCCAAGAAAAGAATAAGCCAATAAAGTTCTGTTATCGGAATTACTGTAACAGTTTACCGCGGCACGGGCGTGCCATGTAATTTTCCATCAATGTCTCTTTACCTCCGATGCGGTTAATTCCAGCCAAAGAACTTAATCTCCAGTTTCACAGTATCTTCTAAAGAATAAAAAATTTGTTACTGTGCTGGATTTGATATAAATGGCAAACTATCACACTCGCTATAGGTAATTACTGTTAAGCGTGTTTAGGCATCACGTTATTTTTGAATGATGATAATAATAAATCAAGTAATTAATTACGTTATCTACTAATTTCTTTTGCCACATCTTTTCATTAATTTTTAATACCCTGCCTCTCGAAAATGAAGTCTTCCCGAACATATGTTTGCAGGAACAATTAATTAAAGTTTAACGAAGCTCTTTAGTAACCTATAGATATATTTCCCTAATCTAACTCACACACCCAATCAAAGTTACTCGGACTACAATTTTGTTTTTAATAATCATGCACATCTGCTACATTTTTAACAAATCGAATTGGTGTAATAGGTATCTCCTAAAATAAATTTTGAGGTAAAACCCTTTATTGTGACATCCAAGTTGCAGGATAATATTTTAAGGTATACAAAGAATTTTTTTATTTACAATTGATGACAGAACTGTCATATCGTTTTGCAGTAGAGCTGTTTGATCCGAATACTACAGAATTGTTATCCGTACAGTTTTATAAATGAACGAAGATCTACCAACATCAACATAATCAAATTAAAAATATTATAAATGTACCTAAAGCAATGTAAAAAATATATAGACTTTGAAATAATTCTTATTTTCATCATGGTAATTTAGTTTATTTATTAATAGTTTATTATTTCGAAAATTTAACATTTTTCTACCCAAGTAGGGTGTCAGAAAGAATTGGTCAACATTAAGCTGGAGATACTAGACACCAAAATATTATATTTGAGCTCATCATGCCTTATGCGAATGTCGCTGGTTTAAGAAATACAGGGTGCTCAAAGTTTAAATTTCATTCTGAAATTTCTCAGTAACTGAGAAAGTTTTGATAGCATGGCTCTGAAACTTGATAGGGTTGAGTTTTTTGGTGTGAGATTCACAATTTTCTCAATTATTGAGAAATTTTTGAATAAAATTTAAACTGAACACATTCCTTAAACCAGCGACATTCGTATAAAGCATGATGAGCTCAAACATAATATTTTGGTGACTAGATCTCCAGCTCAGTGTTGAGCCATTCTTCCTGATTAAACCTGTATAATTTGAATCAAATATCAAAGTAGATATACAGGGTGTTAAAAAAAGAGTGTAAAATATTTAAGGAGGTAATAGTATGAACCAAAATAAGCAGAAAAGTCCCCATAAACATGGGTCCGCAAAGTAACGGTTGCGGAGATATGGAATGTTTTATGTTTTTTAGCCCCTTTTTTTATTTTGCAAAAACGTTGTGTATTTTCTTATAATAGTTGGTTGATGTTTAGTGAAATAAACAGTACGTATTTGACAGTTGTTCTCAGTGCACAAGTTTTCTTTCGCTATGGCTGGTTACTCTAACGCAGAATTAACAGACATGCATTTCATGTATGGTCGTGCTAATGGGAACGCCACCGAAGCGCGACGTCTTTATGTTGACGCTTATCCAAATCGCCAGATTCCTTCACAACGCATGTTTGGAAGAATTCACCAAAGATTGCGTGATACCGGTTCCTTGAGCAAACAGTGCCATTTATCCGGAAGACCAAGGTCGGTATCCACTCCTAGAGCAGAAGAAGAAATTCTAGCACTGGTAGAGCAGAATCCAGGTACGAGTGTGCGGAGAATATCAGCCGAGGTAGGAATTAGTGGTCCTCTTGTTTGGAGAATCCTTCACGAGCAACTGCTTTATCCATA